AACACACAAACACAGGTCTTGTGACTGAATTTCCTCACACATGCATCCTGACCAGGTCATGAGTTGACAAAAACTGACAAAGCACTGACACAAGTTTAGCTGTGGTGAAACAGCTGTAACAATTAATCCATTAATCACAATAAATCAATAACAGATCAATAAATGTCTCAATTTATGTCACTTGATATCTACGAACTCCTTTGCCAGGTCCAATAAAACATCTTTACCTACAGCATTAATGGAGAATGTGCACTTGGATTAATGTCGCGTAAATGCTGCTGGCCGGGACAATTAGTCCAGGTGCTCATATTCATCTCGACTCTAGGTATTGTGAGCGGTTTCATCTATTGTGGCTTGCTTTTGGATGGGACATTGTCATTGTTAATGATGGGAAATATCCCCCACGACTTTGCGTTCAAATTCAAAGTTTTGTTATAATGCTATGTAAGGTTGGGCAATATGGCAACAAAGTGATATCTCTGTTATTGTCTCCCTTTAGACGAGTACGATTTTAACCAAAGTTCCAAATTGAAATACATTTTAATTCCCATCCCTAATTATCATGAAAGCATAGTGTACAGACGCTGACATCTCAAATATAATGTTGCGTCTTTGCTGCCCTATTGTACACGCATGCTGCACAACTCAGCTAACTTACAGAGGCCACGAGAAGCAGAGGCCAGAAAAAAACATTTTTCTTTTCATTTCACAATTTGACATATGTCATGTCTCAAATTTGTTTGGATTTATTGTTCAGATAATTGAAACGAACAGTCAAAGAAAAACCTTTACCTCAACTAATCTTCTATATACTACATGTAAACTGATCAAATTCTAGCTCCAGGCAGAGTTTTTTTCTGCCAGGTGCTTCTGCTCTGATCAACAATTAAGGGATTTTTTTTTTTTTTTTTTTTTTTTATTACATATAAATTGGATTATTAGAAAAAGACATTAAGCTTTGTTAGCCACTTGCCCTTTGGGCAAGAACCATTTATATTTTACTTGCCTAATGTCAAAAGTTACTTCAAATTCAATTCTCAATTCAATTAGTTAAGCAATAAAATGGCACCAACTGTGTGGAAAACATAAAAAAAGTCCACCAAGGCTTCATCAAATCTAAACATGTTGGTTTTAAAAGATCATGGTAAGCTGTAAAACTAGCATTGAAGCTAGCGTTAACTAAACACTGCCGAAAAAAACTTTTCTAGAGCGGGACAAGAAACATCTTTTAATGAACACATTTTATGGAATTAATATTTCTTACACATTCATTTACGACCAAACGGATAAAATATAATTATATACCTGATTTTGAGCCACGTTGTTGATGTTGATGCCCTCTGCCATGTTTAGTTTTACGGCAATGAAGTTGATCATTATCTCTGCGCAGGCTCAATTGTTAATGTCTGTGAGCATTGAGCAGTGACGTCATTTTTTTAACGTCATTTTTAGACATGCACGTCTTTATTGACAGTAGCCTTACCCCAGAGCATTGGTCAAAAAAAGATAAACAGACGTGTCCGCTCCCAGCTCTAGAGGTAGAAAAGCGGGAATGCTTTCCCGGCCTGAATGGGTTAAACCAACACTACTGTGAGCTAAACATCACTTGCCTGAACGGGCAAGTTGCCAGAGACAGCGCACTTGTCTGTCCCAAATCTTTGGTTGCCCCGGGCAAGCAGACAACCGTTAATGTCGAGCCCTGCAGACTATTGGTGAACTCTTCATTCACCATTTCCACTGTCTCAATGTTGATCAATTTCCTAAGTGCACATAAGCATGAAACATCCAGATTAATCAACAATTTATGGGTTATACCATATGATCCGGATAATTTTGAAGGAATAGAACCTTGTAAACTCTACAACTACTTTTCTAGTTATGATATAATGAATCACAGGATTAGAAGCTCAGTTAAAAATACAGTTTTTAACTGTTTTACAGTACAGTTTTTAAAGTTTTCAAAGTAAAGTACTGGTATTTTTGGAAAAGGTGGTATTGATACCATTTTTTCCAAAAAGGATAAAAGTACTTGATCAGGCAATTTCCTTGAGCAAATGTGATAAGGACAACCACTAACAGTCAGGTGATGTAAAACTATTCTGCTATGGGCCGCACACTAGGAATGTCACTTCCATTGTCTCGTCACATAAAAGGTACTTGCTGAACATGATACTGGTGGCCTCCAACTGGCTTCTGCTGCCAGAACAAATCTGGTAAACACACTGACACATGTTTAAAAGAGAACAATGTGATTAATCAATCCCTTGAATTAAATACCATAACGTTCTTTTTTCGACAGCTTATTCAAATAATATAATAGAACTAGTACGGTTTCTTCTTGGTGCCAATACTGTTCAGAGTTTTTTTTTTAATCAACCATAAATATAATACAGTTATGGCTGTCCTAAAGTTATTAGATTACTCAATTAATAAAAAGGTAATAATAGGATGTACGATTACTGAAATAATTTTCAGCCCAAGGGTGATTGTTTACAAATGAAACGTAATATTTAAATCTGGTCTTGTCATTATGACATGTAGCGATGTTAGATCTGGGGGTAATCATAAGTTATACAGTATGATGGCATGTGTGTAAATGGCCTTCACTAGAACTAGACATTATTTCTCTGAAAAGGACTTGAGATAAGATTACAACACCTCTATCTATAGTATGAACCTGATGCTGCTCTATATGTTATAAAACGGTACTCCTATTTTGGGGCCATGCTGAAGACTATGCTTTATACCGTACAAAACAAAGTTGCTCAAATACACGGAACACCACAGGTACAACCAAATATTGTGATCACAAGGTGTGGGAGAATTCCCGCAAGCGCAGTAGTAGAGTTTCATCGAAACTCCAAGGTGAAATGGGAACAGTATGTCGCAGTTTATTGTATTCAAGCCTTCAACACTCAGATTGTTGCATGAAGGGAAGTAGTTTCCCTGGTGTTTTATGAAGGCCATATTAAAGAAAGTTCGTGCATTAAACAGGCGGGGAGAAAACACACAAGAGAAAGTGAGTTGTGCAGGTTGTATGTTGACATTAACCGATGAACACATACGAGAACTGGGTTTGAGACCAGAGGTGGAGACGTGCGTTAATGTTACACTTCTTGGCCTATGCGTGCAATTTTGCTTTATGATGGAATGTTTAAAATGCAAACTTACAGCCTGGAGTAGGCTTATGGTATCGGCCAGTCTTTGGTCGACACGTATTGCACCTGACGTTAACTAAAGCTCATTAACCCATTTTCAAAGCCACTTGCATTTAAGTCCTACTCGAAGTATTACAGACAGTACATCCACGGAAGCACTGTCATTTAAACAGGGAAGACATGACGCCCTTTACTTTACGAGGCGGACAGACGTGTACAGCTCAAAATCTCGATGATAAACCCACAAGTAGCACTGTCTATATGGTTGACGTGTGTAAAATACGCGAAAGAAGCAGCGAGCGGGTCCGATGAGGGGATGCATCTGTCTGATTTCGCTGATGAACAAGCTACAGGGGCTACAGGCTGCAGAGCTACGTATGCTAACGCTAGCTGCTCTGGTAGCTCTCTGCGACACGGCTATAAACGGAGCGAGAGACACAGCGAACGTAAGCCGCCCTCTGGCAACTAATGATCGAATAACCACAATGTTGTCCACCATCAACGCAGTAACACGTGGTAAATACAACGGAAAAGATCAAATGTTGTCGTTTAAGTAAGTGGGAACATTGCTTACCAGCTCTACGCATCCACCCTCTCTTGACAGCGTATCCCCGTCTCTGACCACAGTAAAGATGGCGTCATTAGCCAAGATCAACACATCCGGCAACCCCTTTAACATAAAGACTTACTTTTGAGTTTCTTTTATTAATTCTAACCCCTCTGTCAATATATATCCAGCATATATGTCGTTTATTTATTTTTTTGTGTTTCTTCCATAATGAGATCACGATAATACACGTAATCAGCAAAACAAGAAAAAAAACATAACAATAAATAATAATAATGATTTTTCAATGATAAAAACATGAACGATCACATGCAAAGGAACAAAAAGGAAAAACAAATACATTATGTTTCAGTTAGAGGTCTATACAGTACATGGGAAAAAACCAATCACAAGGAACTTAAATAAAAAGAACATGACTATCGTCATGTTCTCAGTAACACCGAGGCCCCTTTAAAAATCTGACGGGTCTGCGTGGCCCCCCAAAATAATAACCAAGAAGACAACATTAAGAATAGGCTCTTCTGGTTATTTTATTTTGGGGAAATAGCCTCTGCTACAAACATTGTAATACAAAAATGTTTACAGTGGATTATTCAAGTCAAATAATGAACACAATTATTTTAATATTACAAACAAAACATTATAAATTTAACATTAAATAATTATATTATTTTTTTTATTTTTTTTATGACCTCCCGCGGCCCCCCTGCATTACCCTCGCGGCCCACCAGGGGGCCGCGGACCCCACTTTGGGAGACACTGGTCTATAACATTGCGTACTAATCGGCCTCTGCGTGCCCTCTAGTGTCAAATAGAAAGAATTACAAAGTGCCCGCGTCGCTGTAGGTTTTACAAGCCATAATCTCTTGATATGGGCAGTGAAGCCCATATCAAGAGATTATGAGGGGTTTTTTTTGTTTTAAGTAATAAAGAAGCTTACTAACCTACTTATTCATAGCATTACTTGTTATAGCAATACTTTATTAGTTGCAGGATTCCCCTTTGCTTGCCCATTAAAATCACCTTTTTGGATTAACCTATTGAGAGAAAAACGGAATACATCTAATTACATACAAATACATATATATGTGCGTGTGTATAATAGTTAATTTGATATGATAACCTATATAAACTGGGCTAAGTCAATGGACTGCACTTGGACTGTGTCTCTTGTAGGGAGGGGCCATTCTGGATGCCCTTCAAAACATTTACCCATCACACTCTTGCACCAGTCTGGGTATTGGAGCACAGCAAGCAGGACTATACTGTTCAACATGGGGCTCACGCACGACCCAAACTTCCACAAACTGCAGGACTGGTATACTGCTCATGCGCTTAACCTCAACATGAGACACTTGTTTGAGAGTGACAAAGAGAGGTTCAACAAGTTCAGGTATGTACTATGTACTTTATGTAAGGACATAATGGCAAACAAGTGTCACTAGCAACATATCACCAGACCTGTTCTCTGTGTGTTTGAGCAGCCTGACACTAAATACACAAGATGGGGACATTCTTCTTGATTACTCCAAGAACCTCATTACCGATGAAGTTATGAAAATGTTGATTGATCTGGTGTGTTCACTTTTCTGCAAACTCAGCAATGTTTTGTGTTGCATGATTGTGTTGGCTTTTCAAAAATTAAATTGATTTCAGGGTCAGTCAAGGGGTCTTGAAGCTGCTCGGGAGAAGATGTTCACCGGTGAGAGGATCAACTTCACAGAGGTAGCTTACTATATTTTAACACAAGCATTAATTGTATATTGTAACGATATAGTACAATATGTTTATTTCTTTGGGAAGGGGCGTGCTGTGCTCCATGTGGCTTTGAGAAATCGCAGCAACAAGCCCATCATGGTCGATGGGAAAGATGTGATGCCAGAGGTCAATAAAGTTTTGGAGAAGATGAAAGGCTTCTGTCATGTAAGGAATAAAACCAGACATTGTATCCATTGTAAATTTGTTTATTATATTTGTTTTACGTAGTAATTTGTCTGTGCTTTCACTCTCAGAGAGTTCGCAGTGGACAGTGGAAAGGCTACACAGGAAAGGCAATCACAGATGTTGTCAATATTGGAATTGGAGGATCTGACCTTGCAAGTGGAGTTTTGATACATTTAGTGTTGAAAAGATATTGAATATGAAGTATAACAGACAGTCCTCTATGTTGTAGGGTCCGCTCATGGTGACCGAGGCTCTGAAGCCTTATGCAGAAGATGGTCCGCGTGTGTGGTTTGTGTCCAATATTGATGGAACACATATTGCCAAAACATTGGCAAAACTCAATGCTCAGACGACTCTTTTCATCATTGCATCCAAGGTAAACCTGAAGTTTAGTTTCTTAGTCTTTTGACACATTTATTACATAATGATGACTCGTTGCATAGTCTCTCAGATTCTTAAAAAATATCATAAAGGAATAGTGTGTTATTGATAATTGCCCTCTCATCTTCAGTTTAATTGGTCAATTATTCAATACAATACAATGTATTCTTGTATAGCCCTAAATCACAACAGAAGTCATCTCAGAGGACTTAACAAAACCATTGAAATCACCAACACAGATCAGAGAATCAACAGTTTAAATACATAAAGAATATAGAAAAAATGTCCATACATGTTGTAGAATGTTTAAGTGTCCTGGATCATCCCCACATCCTTTTTGTTGGACACTACAGTCGGCAAACATCGGCAAGGAAAAACTCATAAGAAAAACCCATATTATCTGTACTGTAATGTGTGTGTTTTCAGACATTCACCACACAGGAGACTATTACTAATGCAGAGTCTGCAAAAGCATGGTTCCTGGAACACGCCAAAGATGTAAATATCTTAGAAAAACTATACACCCTGGTGTGTGTCAATAACTTGTTTTAATCCTATGTTAAAACATTTTTCTGTAATTTAACAGAAAGCTGCAGTTGCAAAGCATTTTGTGGCTCTGTCGACAAATGCTGTAAGTTATTGTCGTCAATGTACATTTTTCTACATATATTTATTTTTTTGGAATCACAGCTCTTTTTTTTTGTATGTCTTTGTTTTTAGACCAAAGTGAAGGATTTCGGCATTGATACAGAGAACATGTTTGAATTCTGGGATGTGAGTGTTCCATTCTGCCGACTTGCTGCATATCCTCCCTGCTATGAATCCAGGCACTATGAATAGCCTGACTTCTGACCTCTGAAGGTGGTGGGACAGCGGGATTGGCCAGCAGCTGCTGGGAAATCAGAAGCCTCTATGCACACTGGCAACACACAGTTATTATTGGGAATGACCTTCTCTTTGGCACAGGTCACTGTAAAGGCCGTGTTGCATCAAAGGTCAGCAAAGTACATGTAGTTTTACAATATCCCGGCATCATATTGGTCATTATATTGGGTTTATTTTAAGGTAGGAATTTGTTGACCCATATTGTAAAGAACATGCCAACTGTTTTCTGATTCAAAGTGTTGATTCCAGGAACTCCCCATGCAATGTGTTTTTAAGTGTTTTTTAGAATTCTTTACAACAGCTTTCCAACTGATTTTACATTACAAAAAACAAACATTTGGATAATTAGACTGTATATCCCAACTATGAGAGTGTGTTTTATTTCAACAACATTGAAAATATTGTTGTTGTTTTTTCAGTGGGTTGGTGGTCGCTTTTCTCTATGGTCAGCCATCGGGATGTCCATTGCTCTGCATATTGGTGCGTGGGAACAAATACAGAACACTCAAATGATAAAGCAACTTAAGGTATATTTATTATCATTCATTACCAGGTTTTGAAAACTTTGAGAAGCTTCTGTCAGGAGCTCATTGGATGGTGGGCAAAAAGTTTTACCAGCGTAAATTATATTTGTTGCTGTTTACACTATTTATTTTGTTTCTCACTTTCAGGATAACCATTTTCGCACTGCTCCTCTTAATAAGAATGCCCCAATCCTTCTGGCCTTACTTGGAATCTGGTACATCAACTTTTTCCATGCTGAGACTCATGCAATGTTGCCCTATGATCAATACATGCACCGGTTTACCGCATACTTCCAACAGGTCTGTACCATGTTCAGTTATAACTAATCAACTCCTCTAAAGCATCTTGTAAAATTTGTGATCATAATCAAATATCAAATGTGCTTCATTATTTTTAGGGTGACATGGAGTCCAATGGCAAGTACATCACTAACCAGGGCGCTCGTGTAAACTACCACACTGGACCCATAGTGTGGGGAGAGCCTGGGACCAACGGACAGCACGCCTTCTATCAACTTATCCACCAGGGTAAACATTCTCTTACTTTGAAGAGACACAGTGTTTATGACAACAACATATATTTACAGTAACAACAGACCTGGATGAGTCTTCTCCTGCTGGACACCTGAATTTTTCCTACGGGGGATCAATAAAGTATCTGTATATCTATCGATCAACTATCATTAACAATCTATAGAACTCAGAACTGTCCAAATCCAGGCAAAACAGTTTTCAGTTTTACAATCTAGGTTGTCAGCCCCTCGACAAGCCTGGTTCACTGAAGTGGTCCTTGTAGTAACAAGTTTGGACACCCCTGGTACACTATATACACACCAATGTACCTGTACAATAGATAAAATATGTAACAAACACCTGGGAATGTAAAATATAATAATAAGTCAATAGACTCAAATGAAACATTCTGGGCTGTATCTGGATACGTTTGAACTTCAAAATCATGAATGTCCTTTACTATTCTTACTCAGTCTATTCATTTTAGGAACGCGTATGGTGCCTTCTGACTTTTTGATCCCAGCTCAATCTCAGCACCCATTAAGAAACGGCCTGCATCACAAGGTAGCAAATCAGAAAATTCTGATTTTATTATCTCTCCTTTATTGCACACTTTGATTATCATTTACAGATCCTGTTGGCAAACTTCCTTGCTCAAACAGAGGCTATGATGAGAGGCAAAACCACCGAAGAGGCCAGGAAGGAGCTGGAAGCCAGCGGCGTCAGTGGAGAGGAGCTGGAAAAAATTCTTCCTCATAAAGTGAGTAAAATACAGATAATGGCATGCCAAATGTGGTCAGCTCAGACATGTTACTGGTATGAGTGAGCATCCTGCAAAAAATCTTGTCCTTTTAAGTCAAACAAAACACTTTACTCCAGGTTTTCCAAGGAAACCGACCAACAAATTCAATAATTTTCAAGAAACTTACGCCATACACCCTAGGAGCCCTTATTGGTAAGTTCCAGCCACCATACCCAACTGCAACAAACATTTAAAGTGTATAGCTGAAATGTATAATCTGAAACTTACTTTGTCACAGCACTTTATGAGCACAAGATCTTTGTCCAGGGTGTAATGTGGGAGATTAACAGCTTTGATCAGTGGGGGTAAGTTATTGTGATATAGTCACATATTTAGCCCATTTAGATTATATCCAATAGAACTGTCATTGTCTTCTTCTGTTCACTAAGTGTGGAGCTTGGAAAACAACTGGCTAAGAAGATTGAGCCTGAATTGCAAGACTCTAAAGAAGTCCAATCTCATGATTCCTCCACTAATGGACTCATGAACTTCCTCAAGAAAAACTTTGCATAAACTATAACAATCTTTCCAGCACTGTTTTCTGCTCCATGGAGAAGGCAGCTGCACTATTCTTTAAAGTTTGCCATTGTTTGTTGTTGGTATGTATGAGAAGAAGGCAATTAAAAATCTATTTTTACGTCAATCATTAATTGCTGAATTTGAGTACTGTGCCTGTGCATGCTTTCTGTCACTAGATGGCGGCAGAAAGTCACGTCCTTTTCGCACTGTGACGTAAAGGGACAAAGGCTAAAGTCTCTGCGCTGTCATTTTTAGAGAGACAAACAAACATAAGTTTACAGTACCCTCTGGTTTGCATATATATCAATCAATCAATCAAAGTTTATTTGTAGAGCGCCTTTCATACACAGGGCAACACAAAGCGCTTCACAGTCCACATCACAAATCATCACATAAAACAAACACCAGAATCACAATTAAAACATTAAAATCACACAAAAGATTAAAACACAATTAAAACATTAAAATCACACAAAAGAATAAAACCATTAAAACTTTCAAAATTACACAAGAAATTTAAAAAAAATAAATAAATGACAGCAGTGCATTAGAAATGGAGATAAAATCCTTCAGTTGTATGCACAGGCAAACAGAACAGTCTTTAACCTGGATTTGAACATTGACAGAGTAGACGCCTCCCTCACATTTTCAGGGAGATTGTTCCAGATCTTAGCTGCATAGATCTGAAACGCAGCCTCCCCATGTTTGGTTCTCACTCTGGGCACCAGCAGGAGGCCAGTCCCTGTGCTCCTCAGAGTCCGGGCCGGTTCATATGACACCAACATGTCACTAATGTATTCTGGTGCAAGGCCATGGAGAGACTTGTACACAAGCAGAGCCGTTTTAAAATCTATTATTTGAGCCACAGGAAGCCAGTGCAGAGACCTGAGGACCGGACTAATATGGTCATACTTCCTGGTTCCTGTCAGGACTCTAGCTGCTGCATTTTGGATGTACTGCAGCTGCTTACAGGTCTGTTTGGACAGACCTGTAAGCCTGCTGGAGACAAATGCATGGACAAGAATCTCCAAGTCTGCCCTGGACACTATATTTCTAACTTTGGCAATGTTCTTCAGATGGTAAAAAGCTGTTGATGTTATTGATTTTATGTGGCTATTGAAATTTAGGTCTGAGTCCAGTATTACCCCCAAATTTCTGACCTTGTCTGAAGGAAGTAGGGAGAGAGACTGAAGTTGACAAATGACGCCCTCTCTTTGTTTCTGGGGACCAAAGACAATGATTTCGGTTTTGTCTGCATATATAGCTAGCTAAAGCAATAACTAACTACACATGATAGACTTCAGTGAAAATGGTAATAAAATTGTTACATAAAACAGAAAGCTGAAACCCATGAAGAACATTAGAGGCAATTACATGTTAATCATCCCCGTGCAACCAGACCCATGTAAGTGACATTTTCATCATTAGTCTGATGCGGACATCGCATAAAGACAAACTGGAATGACCTCTACACTGCCTGCGTTTCCTTCTTTGGTTGCCAGGCAACTATTCTAAAACTTCTGTCTGAAATGATCTCATATGTATAATGAATTAGTCCGTGTTGTAGATTATAAAGTAAGATTTAACATAAAACAGAAGGTTCTAGGTTTTTGTTGTTGTAACCTTAGCAAGTTAAAACAAGTTTGGGAGAATAATATGCCCAGTTCTTGGAAGGGGAAAGCATGAAATAGGTTCCATGAGCGTTCCTGGGATGTTTGCGGAACAATGGGACCGCTACTCACATTCCACACCCTGCTTTATTTGTTGAACTTTCTCATTCATTTATTTCTATGGTCCATTCTTGTCTGACCCCCTGTCTAAGTAGGGTCCAACTTGGCCTTGTCCTGTCCTGTGGTTGCCATAGCAGTGACACTCACCCCTGGCTCAGTGACTGGGCCATCCCAAGTTCATGGTGGTGTCAGACTAAACTGGTCTCGAGCCTCTAGCTTGGATCATCCTTCATAAATATAAATGACTCCATCTGCTGACATGTTTGATATCTTTTTCTGATTTTATTCACAATATTAATCCAGCCTTTTTTGGTGAAGGAAGAAGGGGTGAAGTACATGTTTTCCCACCGCAGAAGTAGTTATTTTAAGGAAATGGTGGGAGCGTTTGAAGCCCCTGAAGAGTTGGACTCAAAGATCATGTTTTGTTGCTGTGGACGTACAATAGTTTCTTTTAGGAATACTCAATGTGAAAAGTGTGAGAACAACTGCTCTACTATAATTACATACAGTATTTTAATCATTTAAAGTAAAATTTATATGTTTCTATTCCACAATTATCGTTTTTAATTATTTCTTCCGTGTCTGATCATAGAACATAATTAATAATCAACAACATAAAACCTTGGTCATGCAAGGGCTATCCTTTAATGACCTAATGTTTCCTACTTCACCTGTCATCATTATCCTGTAGGACTTTCAGTTGTAGTCTGTCTGGTCATTTCTGTTCCAATGTGTTATCAAGGCGCACTAAAAAGGATCAAACTCACTTAGTGAATAGCAGGAGCGCATTGATTTAAAAACATTTGTATTTAATTCCTCCACCAATTCTATTATGTTGTGTTGGAAATATTTGACTCTGCTGTTCCCTGCAGCAAAGACTGGCATCTGGAACTTCTACTTCCCACATCATTTTATCAACACTGCTCAGAGGTGAAATATGTCAAAAGTGGAGGATTAGAATTGATAGGTTTCAGTGCATGTTGGACTTCCAAAGGGAAACTCGAACTAATTGGCCAATATTGGTCAATCAGTATATAGGGGGGGCGACAGTAGCTCAGTTGGTAGAGCATTGGCCTTAAGGCCAGAAGGTCGTGGGTTCAATTCCCACCTCTACACCTTCTCCACCGACTCCCACTGATGACTGCTGTCGTTGTGTCCTTGGGCAAGACACTTAACCCCACTTTGCCCAAAAGCCCCCACTGAAAGATCAAGGCTATGCTCACACTCAGAGAGCAGCCGTCCTCCTGTGGACTCACCACCTGCAGAGGGTCAGTGAGGGGCTGGTGCTATGAGACTTGGGTGGCATCTCTGATTGCCACCCCCCTGACCCAGAAGTGGATTAAAGGGTAGAGGATGGATGGATGGATGGTCAATCAGTGACTGATTTGCACTCTATACCGATACAAATGGAAAATCATATATATTTATAATGTTTACTTATATCTATGTGCAGCACTTTGGAGACTTTATATAATGTGCTATACAATTGAAGTGGATTGGATTGCATGATCGTTTATTGTTAAGTGCAGAATTAATAAGGGCTTTAGGTAACCACAAACTACAAATGAGGTAAATACGTATATTTTCTAAAACCTGTGTGGTTTTGAGGGAAGGCGCTCTTTTGTATGGTGTAACAGAGCTCACCTTAGAGCCAGTCCCCCAGGCTCCTCTACCTCTGCAGCTCCCCGTGTCACTGGGTGGAACCTCTACAACATAAAGGCTGCTTTGTGCCCTGACTCACCGAGCTGACAGCCTACACCAGAGCAGCTCCAAACACTCACCACCACTGTTCTGTGCCACAGTGGGCAGACTGTACAGTGTTGGCCTATGACTCCCACCTCAAGCCTTCTCAACCCTTAGCACTTTTTCAGGGCTACAGCCTTAAGGTCTTTAAGCCAGACATTACAATTGTGTAAGTAATTGCACAGTTAACAAAAGAGGATAGACAATTGGTTTCAGTAAGCTACAAAACCACTTTATTGAAAAAGCAGATTATGACATCTATAGTTAAATGATACATTCCAATTTTAATACATTAAATAACTTTTTCATGTTTAGATAAATAAAGATCTAGGTTCTTTTTTATGAACCGTCTAGTTGAAATACAGCTATACAAAATACATGACCATTGTGAGTGATAGAAGAAGCAATGCTGTTATTTCCAATGGATTTTAAAAGCAAAACAAAAAACAAATTCTTTTAGTCTTTTCCAACTCCTGAAAATTAGCAGTGTGCCAACGTGACACAACTTTATAGAGAATACACTCTAGTCACTGGTTCTTGTAGTCATATACATCTCCATAGAGATGCATACAAAGCCAAATATGGAATATTATAGTAAGAAATACCATTACATTTCCATGGAATCAAGAGGCTGTACCCTTAGCAGTCAAAAGATTCAATCCTTTAGGGTTTAGCACTCAATTAGGGTAGAAGTGGGTGATATCTCAAAAATGGACGATAATACTACTGTAGTTGTATTGAAGATTCATTATTCAAAAGTAATAACAACTGCAGCGTATTTCACCACTTGTATTGGTTGGTTTTACAGTTTTTTTATCCATTTGTTTAATTTTAACAACATTTAAACGTCACCCACTGAAGCCCATCTCTGTTAGATTTTGTTTATAATATGATGGCAACTTATTTGTTTTGAAGATATCAATATTAACCACCCCTGGATGATGGGGGTTTCTCAGCCAGAAAACTCTTTCTGTGTTACTTAAAAACACATGTCAACAGATCAAGCACTAGTCTTTACATTCAAATACTCTTTGTGACATAAATGCCAGAAGTTCCCAGCTGAGATAACACCTTCCTAGGGCTGTTTCAGTCTAGTTTGACACAGTCAGTAGTATTATTGAGACCAAACACATTCTCACTGAACCTTTATATGGCACCAGATACCATATTTAAAACATGTATGATGCCAATAGTATGAGTTCAGTGATAGTTCACTTGAATGCTGCTGACCTATAGGGTTCAGTAAACTGAAAGCAGAACTGCCCACGGAATCTGATGCTTATATTATGGCCCTGCCACACTCAGAAGCATCCAGACTCTTGTTTACAATATTATACATACAGTAAGAGGGATGAATAGAGGAATGTCCAGAAGCTCAGCATATCGACATTGAGTGCCATACTTTTTAAAGTTTCCTTCAAACATTTGTTAAAACCAACAAGTTACTTTTTCAAACATTCCCACAGCTCAAACTTTCAAGTTTTATTCTCTTGAGTAGTTTTTATCTTGCATAAACACGTCAATTAAAAAAATAAAAGTATAAACCACATACATACACTCACACAACAACTAGCAAGTGGGACTGTCAGAACATATGAGCGGATCCAGCCACTCTGCCACACAGTAGCAAATTAAACAATTGGTAGAACTGAATCAGCGGCTCGTTCTTATCAATGCTTCATTATGTACTGTAATGTGTAGCACATCTATCCAAGCGTTGGAGAGCCAATGACAGCATTTGAAATGTTCTCTTTTATTATTTTGATGTTCCTACGAACTCTACAATGTTTGCACAGCTCAGACAGGCCACTATGACTCTGAATATCAGACAGAATAAAGGAATATGTGTCCTGAAAGGGGAAGGATACATCAGACCCCTACCTTAGAATACACATTATATATAAACTCCTTTTAAAAAAGAAATACATGAGCAAAGAATAAGTCCAGACATGTATGTGGAAACATCTGCAAATATAGTTTATATATTCATAAGTAAAAAAGACAATCTATGTGCTTTCTAGGGTTTTCTCTTTTTAATAATAAAATTACTATTAAGACACAGCATGTTGGTTTGTTTGTTTGTTTTCTTAAGACCATTATGTGGAATGCCCGTTGTCACCTGCTGTGCCACATGTGCTACTATTATAATGGGCTTATGGTAACTGCTCTTTAAGAGAGCCAGCTCGAAAGCCAAAGCCATGGTTTCCCAATATTGTATTGTTGTCACAACACTTGTTGACTGTAATATATGAAGATGAAAAGAAAGACGCACTGCCATTTGATCTCTGACCCAATAGTAGACCAGGAGAGAGTTGCTGAGTCTGTGCTCAGTTCTTCACAGTTCTGTGACATGGAGAGGATAGCTGGGTGGAGAGCCTGGAACCTTGGACTGCAGCTTCTGGATGTGACAGCTGTGGCACAGGAGGTGGCCGTCCAGAGGATAACAGCGGTGGCCCTCCTCATCGTTCAGAGGCAATCCACAGTCCTAAAAGTGTACAACAATGAGACAGTGATTAGTTCAATGCCATTTAAAATGGCCTTCTGATGGTACTTACATTAACGTGAATTTTATTTTCATATAAAATAATTTCTATTGCATTTGAAATGCGAAATACCAATACTGAAAAATTGTCTCTTCTGCCTGAAGGTGGAACTAGGACAGTCATGGTGGTGATAATCGGCTTCATCCAAGGGTATGGGAGAGATACAACTACGATTGTAGAAATGTGCTTTCCTCCCTTTCACATGTTGCTTGCTGGGGCACACGGATCATTGTTGCAGTCTTAGCTTCATTGAAATCTTTAATCCAAGCTGGACATTACTGAAAAATTATCATAACTGTATCCATAATAAAAAGTAAAATATGTACATGGTGTGGGAGTCTATACGTTTTTTCTTCTTCTGACTCCATAGTTTACATAGTTGTAAATATAATTATAAATGTATGTGTATCTATGCATGTGCATGTATATTAGGCAAAATATGCTGATTGTATGAATGTAACTATTTCTGCTGTAATTAATAAATACATGAAAAAAGGAAAACCTTTGAAAATGCTCTGCCATTGATTGGCTGGTGTATTTTAAAGGCACAAATATTGGTAAATTGTTTTCACTGGGGTTATAGTTCTCAACCTGGAAAGTGTGTGTGTGTATGTGTGCATAAATGTGTTTTATATCTCTTTAAAACACGTTTTAAACGTATGAAAATCAAGATTTTTTTTTGTCCTTCGAGACAACTTGTAAGTTTGGGCTCAATGAAAAAAGGACAATAGTCTGGTCTCTTACTCACTTACATCATGTAATTGTAGTAGTATGTATTGTACAAAAATCTCACCTCACAGTGATAACACTCCACATGGTAGTCCCTGTCCATAGACACCACCCGAATAGTCTCTTCTGAGCCCTGGTAAAAACAGATAACATTTCGATCTGGTGATCTGATAGAACTCAAATATAAACTCTTAATAATAGAGAGTGGGAAAAAAAGAAGGCACTGCCAAAACATCATTCAGTCACCTCATACTGCAGGTGCAGCCAAATTGAAGACTAGGACTTCTGCTTGTCAAATAACTACTAATATTTGATTAAAACATTACAATTATGATCTTCAAAGTAAATTATTTGTGAAGTCTAAACACTACTTAGTTCTGATGTTTGTTGCCGTTTAAAACATGAAAACAAGTGTGAAGGTGAATCATCAGTTTCCTATTGGAAAAGATGAACTCCTGCAGTTTACTTTCATGTGCACATTCTTGAAGATAAGTCCCTGTGATGCACTTGTTGCAGGAAAATTGCAGCGTTTGAACATAAGTTACTGATATACTATTTAGGTGTTGCAGAAATAGTTTTAGATTACACATCACGGCTGCATCACATCTCACGTTATCCTCGCCTCCAGGAGAGAGTGGTTCAACCATTTCCCAGTAAAGACGGGCTCCTCTTGTGGCACCGGCACTGACACAACTGATCAGTGGCAGCTGCCACAATTTCTACCAATGGCATTTTCAGTGGCAGCTAGAAGTTTAGTGGCATTTCCAAATCTAGTGGTGGTTTTGAACAAATCAGGTCATATCAGTGGTCTCCAACCTTTTTCACCTGGAGAGCGACTTTCTCAGCAACAAACTTCTAGCTGCCACAGCAAATGCCAGAGGCAGCTGGCACTGATCAGCGGTGGCAACTGCCTGTGCAACAAAAGAAGCCTGCTCTCTCTCCCAGTTTGTCTCTCCTCATAAAGTACAAACTCATTTCATATGGAAACAAAATTAAGGTGGGGTTGCCCCCCCTCACTGAACCACACCTAGCCTCCAAACAGGCAGCCCCCACTAAAAAAAGCACACTATCTGTCTGTCTCTGGTCTGCCCTGTGCTCATCCACAGCTGTGCGAGCCCCCTGGCCCACATCTTTTATTGATGGTGAGTTCACAAGTTTAATATACAGTAAGTAAGATCTTGTTAGTTCGTAACTTCACACTTTATCTGGCATTAGAAATCTAAAAAACCACTGTGGCTGACAAGTGCAGACATACGTAGTCAGTTTACTAGTAATTTATTTCTAACAATTAAATGAATAGTGGAGAGTGAAAAATGTTTTGTCCATACACAATATTCAAATGGGTGAAAAGAATTGCCCATCCCTGCTCTTGAAGAACTGCTTCTTCTGACATACACATTTGACTTTACATTAATAGTGATTTAGCATCATAAATGTTACCTTGGCTGGAAGAATAGGCAGCTTGCAGGAGGCACACTTGGGTGCAAAAACCCTGAGTTATAAAGAAAAAAGGTTTTATTACTATTATTATTTTATGGTTGTTCAGAAAATAATTCATTTTTAGATGAGTAGTACAGAAGACAGTGTTTGTGCAGATAAAATTAGCAAAGGAGGAAGCAATAAACCATGGACTTACGTGTGGTAGTCTTTGACACAGTATATGTTGTTCTCCAAATCTACAGTGAACGGGACACCATCTAAGCCTTCTTTACACACAACACAGCGAAAACAGCCGGGATGGTAGGACTTGCCCAAAGCTTGAAGGATCTGAATAGAACAAATAAAAACATTTATACTAAAATATTTGTTTCAGTATATATTAGAAAGTAGAAATGCTACAGCCAGTCCTCTTGAGACTGAATTGAAATGCATTTTACAATGAATTACCATTTCCATGATGAGGTGACCACATACAAAGCACTTATCGGCTGTCTGTTGGAACCCAGAGTACTGTAGAGGAAAGCAAAATATTTAGTGTTTGTCTCTCCTGCCCAACCTCATACACAAGCCTCGTTGAAGATGGGAGGTGACCACAACATCAGATCACTAACTTTGTGTAACATAAATGAGAAAAGAGCAGAAGTTATCTGCTCCTGCTAAAATTGAATAATGGTCATCGGCTTTAATAGATTCATACCATATCAGAATCAGAATCATTTTTATTGCCACGTAAGTAACATGAAGTCACAGACTTGGACATTGCTTTGGCTCAGTGCAACAGTCAGAAAGAGATAATAAAAATAAAGAATAAAAATTAAGAATAAAAAACACTTCTAAGTAATAAATTTAAATTCAAAATAGAGTTACAGTTACTATTTACAATATACAAGTGCACATGGTGCACACAATGTAAGGTGACAGCAGTACAGTGAAGTAAAGTGACGTATGATGGGCAGTAAATACAGTGCTTTGCGAAAGTATTTGGCCCCCTTGAACTTTTCAACATTTTGCCACATTTCAGGCTTCAAACATAAAGATATCAAATTTTAATTTTTTGTCATGAATCAACAACAAGTGGGACACAATCGTGAAGTGGAACGAAATTTATTGGATAATTTAAACTTTTTTAACAAAGAAAAAACTGAAAAGTGGGGCGTGCAATAATATTCGGCCCCTTTACTTTCAGTGCAGCAAACTCACTCCAGAAGTTCAGTGAGGATCTTTGAATGATCCAATGTTGTCCTAAATGACTGATGATGATAAATAGAATGCACCTGTGTGTAATCAAGTCTCCGTATAAATGCACCTGCTCTTTGATAGTCTCAGGGTTCTGTTTAAAGCGCAGAGAGAACCATGAAGACAAAGGAACACACCAGGCAGGTCCGAGATACTGTTGTGGAGAAGTTTAAAGCCGGATTTGGATACAAAAAGATTTCCCAAGCTTTAAACATCTCAAGGAGCACTGTGCAAGCAATTATATTGAAATGGAAGGAGTATCAGACCACTGCAAATCTACCAAGACCCGGCCGTCCCTCCAAACTTTCATCTCAAACAAGGAGAAGACTGATCAGAGATGCAGCCAAGAGGCCCATGATCACTCTGGATGAACTGCAGATAACTACAGCTGAGGTGGGAGAGTCTGTCCATAGGACAACAATCAGTCGTGCACTGCACAAATCTGGCCTTTATGGAAGAGTGGCAAGAAGAAAGCCATTTCTCAAAGATATCCATAAAAAAGTCTGGTTTAAAGTTTGCCACAAGCCACCTGGGAGACACACCAAACATGTGGAAGAAGGTGCTCTGGTCAGATGAAACCAAAATCGAACTTTTTGGCCACAATGCAAAACGATATGTTTGGCGTAAAAGCAACACAGCTCATCACCCTGAACACACCATCCCCACTGTCAAACATGGTGGTGGCAGCATCATGCTTTGGGCCTGCTTTTCTTCAGCAGGGACATGAAAGATGGCTAAAATTGATGGGAAGATGGATGAAGCCAAATACAGGACCATTCTGGAAGAAAACCTGTTGGAGTCTGCAAAAGACCTGAGACTGGGACGGAGATTTATCTTCCCACAGGACAATGATCCAAAACATAAAGCCAAATCTACAATGGAATGGTTCACAAATAGACGTATCCAGGTGTTAGAATGGCCAAGTCAAAGTCCAGACCTGAATCCAATCGAGAATCTGTGGAAAGAGCTGAAGACTGCTGTTCACAAACGCTCTCCATCCAACCTCACTGAGCTCGAGCTGTTTTGCAAGGAAGAATGGGCAAGAATTCCAGTCTCTCGATGTGCAAAACTGATAGACATACCCCAAGCGACTTGCAGCTGTAATTGCAGCAAAAGGTGGCGCTACAAAGTATTAGCGCAAGGGGGCCGAATAATATTGCACACTCCACTTTTCAGTTTTTTATTTGTTAAAAAAGTTTAAATTATCCAATAAATGTCGTTCCACTTCACGATTGTGTCCCACTTGTTGTTGATTCTTGACAAAAAAATGTATGTTCATATCTTTATGTTTGAAGCCTGAAATGTGGCGAAATGTTGAAAGCTTCAAGGGGGCCGAATACTTTCGCAAGGCACTGTATATATGGCAAGGAGTGCCCAAACTTTATTCAACCAAGATCTACATTTTCAAAGACCAGTAAGCCGAGAACCAACTCAGTTGTAAGTACGGGTGTAATAAAAATGTTATTTTGTTGCTCAAGTGAATGCTATTCAAATATTCATTGAATTCCATGGTACGCGGTGACATCATTGCCCTCTCGTACAGCTGCTTTCAAAAAACATGGTATTTTCGCAGCTAAGATAAAAATGTAGGGATCATAGACTGTAATGTTAACAGACGTAGTCCCGCCTAGCTCCATCGTTGAAACTAATGCTAATAAAAAAAACTCCCTTCAGCATCGACACGCATCTGGAACGTAGCATTGGGCCATGGTCTGACTTATGGACGATCCTGTGAAGCCGTTTTTGAGAGGAAAAAAGGCAGCATATAAAAGCATTGGGTGATTCTCTTTCCTACTGAAGAGAATCACGCTGATGGACAATTTTGAGCTGGGACCCACCCCCCACTGATAGGGATGATGTACAACACTAACACTACTAATTTCAGAGGAAAGAACAAGTGTGTATAATCATTTGAATACTCAACTAATTCTTAGCTGTCTCAGTCCCATTGAGCTCCTATCTGAACTACCTAATAGCGCCATCGTTGACAATATTCTCCGTCTCTATCTCTCCTTGCGTTCCCACCTGTTCCTAATCAACACACAAACCTTCCCAATTCACTCCGCAACCCTATTCCTTCTTTTTGTAAGGAGGAATAGGGTTACGGTTCTCTAATAAATGTAAATAAAGAATTTAAATAATATTTTTTCTGAATTACTTTTGTCTTAAAGATACAATTAATATAAATATTTAATCCTAGTGTTTTGTGCCTGTTTGATATTGATGCCTATTTCTCCTTCAGCTTTAGAAATAGGTTGCTCTAGGAAAAATGTAGAAAACTGTGCAGAAAAAAAAACTTACGAGAAAATCTTCCTCACAGTAGACCTTCCCATTGACATTGTAAAAAGCTTTACCTCGCAGGCGCCTTCCTGAAAAAGAAAACATGAAGAAAACGATTTACTTGATTTATTCATTGTGTACTGCTTTTGTTGAACTGCAGTTAATTTAAGCAAAAGAACTAGCTGTTTTCTGGGATACGATTCAATGTACAATTACACATTACCACATCTTACCTCAGTCTTAGAACCTAATATCAGGCCAGGGTCACATGATGTAAACATGATGTAAACAAAATTGCTAATGTATGTGTAAAGATTTTACAATTAGTATAATAAGGCATACAAGGGCATATTTTGGAAATAAAAGTAAAAATAAAACCGGGCTATAGTCTGGTCTCCAGTTTATGGCCTTGTTCACTGTACATTCAGTGTGGGCATGTGTAGTGTAAAACTGGGTTTCTGAGGAAACAGTTGATAATCAAAACAGCAGTCCCCTTTCATATAAACTTTATGAATGAGCAAAAGTTTATAATTAACTAATAGAGCATTTACACAAAAGATAACAATTTTAAAACATTTAAAATGTTCTAACATCTATATTACGTTTGCAAATCATGCAAACCTCACAGATTGTTTCTCTTAATTCCTTTGGAGCAAAGTTCTTGGCAGACTCAGCTCACATATCTCATAAATCTTGGGGGATTAGTCTGATTTAATTGTCATCCCAACCTAGCAGCCATTTGATTCAACAAATGCCCTGCCGAGGAAACAACAAGAGCTCACCTCCTCCTCTTTAAAGCTACAATTTATGCAATCGCTGTATTTCACAGACAGACTTGAGTGTCACAATGCTTGGAAATGGCAATACATTAACACCCACATAAATGGCTGGAACAGCCCAGGAATGTTGCCCACACAATAGGTGAGACTTTTAAGACTGAGAGGCAATTAGCATTTTGGTAGTGCTGCGCAGAGAAATATCATGGTGGTGGACACAATGTTCAGAGGTAATATACAACAGGAGCCCAGAAAAAGAAAAGAGGTGTGTGCAGTAGCAAAAGAGGTCCCGGTTGCTCGTCTATAGCCTTTGCTCTGGGCATTTGGGCTCTGAAAGGTGAACACAATGGCCTCAGAGCTCATGACTGTGTGCAGGGCTGCTTGCGGAGCAGGTCGACTGCGCAAACGGGGACATTCTTTCTGCCTGAGGTCACTAGCTGGTCCCATTCAACTCCCCACACCTCTCCGGCATCGCTCTTTGCCCACTCTTCTCGACCACGGAGGGACGAAAAGAGGGCGAGAGGGATTCTTTGTGTTGTTCAGCCTGTTACGGCCATACAGCCATATGCCCAGCTCTTCCTTTCACAGATCTGATAGATAAGCTTAGATTACTGTGAAGTACTGTGGAACAGGCAAAGAAACTCCCTTGGTGTTGATTAAAGGGATGAGTTGGTGGAGTAGTGCCGTATGAACCGTTTTTAAGCAATTATATGGTTATTTTAAAGATGATATTCAAACCTAATGAATTGGTCACATCAGTCTGCCTAATATGTTCAAATGAACATAACTATTAACTACAACTGAACATAACTATTAACAATAACTGTAACCAACAAGCCTAAACCCAGAACAGAAGGCTTTGGTAATTGAGTTCTTCTGAGGAAAGCCAGCTGGAGTGGAGGGGGTAGTTTTTTTTTTGCATTCTTTGCCATTTTTGTGAAAAAAAGGTAGAAAAAAAGGGTGCATCCATGAGAGTAAGTCAAGTGAGGGCTCAATTATGCATGGTTATTTAAACAAAGCTTAAGGCTAACTGCAAGACCCTGATGCCCTGGACCCAACAGGGCATTGATCACATTGAGATGATCAAGATTAGATACACATGTGCAGAGGTGGCACATGTGTATCGCTTTGAATAAGCAATGAGCACAAATGGATGAAATTACACAAACAATAGTTCACTCCTGATTTGTCTTCATTAGATCTAAACCAATCACTTCAGCGACTCTCTGCATGTGGCCCCTCTTGCCCCAGACTCATTAACACCAGGCACACACTGTATCCAATCCACAAGAGGTCAATATTTTGCAGAAGACAAGGAGAGACGGATCCAGGAGGCAAACAGGAAGCCAGAACTCATAATAAAAGCACCTCCAGTGTTTTTTCAGAATATAATCTGCTCACTGTAGCGCGCATTTCCCTTGTTGTACAAAGCCCAAAGACAGTGAAACAGAACAGAAAAGATCAGGTAAGTGTTCATAAAGGCAAAAAGGGCTTATATTCACATGCCGTTTGTATGTCTGTAGATATAACATGAGCCCTTGTGAAATCTCATATACAGCACCAGAGCAGGTGGATCTACTGTGAGTGACTGGATCAGGACTGGATCAGTATGGATTCATTGTGTGGTGTGGATGAGGGTAACAATCCTCCTTCATCTTGCTTTGCTATCAAAGGGGAGCAAGATGAATTCAAGATAACATTATGAAGACTTGTCACTTTAATTCACTAATTATTTAGTACTAAATACAATATTTAAGTGAAATCAGGTCAAATACAGGACATAAAAAACAGAACTGCAACAGATTCCGTTTTTTGTGTCTAATTATTACTTCCTTAAATGTTATTCACCAGAGCATACTTCCTCCATTTAGTTTCCAGATTTGATATATTTTGTATTAAAGTAAAAGGTATTTCTTGTGTATTCTGACAAAATACATTTGATACGTTTTTTAGTGAAACAAACAAATAGGCATTAATTTATAGTTAAATTGAACTTACCACAAGAGCAGCAGGTAAAGCAGTTTGTGTGGTACAAATTGCCCATAGCCTGGCAAGCTTGACTTGCTCCATAAACACCTTTACCACATTTAACACAGATTCCTGAAATTCAGAAAGTCAAGTTAGAACAAAAGGTAACTAAAACATACGACTTATCCGTCATATTCAGTGTTTGTTAATAATAATAATGGCAACAAGGATTGGATTAGCATGTTCACCTCATACCTACATGCAACATGAAATGTACACTATGAAATAAGGGTGCTAAAACTCCATGTATTCAGCGATAAACAGTATTGAGTTATTATTTAAGAAAAATCATTTTAAAGGTACTCAATTTTTGTGGTGTAAACACTGCAGTGTCCAGTGTATCATCATAATTTTCTGTAATTTATTTATTAGGAAGAGCACAGGAATGAAGCGCTTAATGATTTATCATTCTTTTGTAAAAATCAACTTTCTGGAAAACTCTGACCGGGCCCTGGACAGACATCCTGTGGTAATGCAGCTGTTAGTTATTTTAAAGCCGCATAATTGTTTTCAATCAACTATATAAATTGCAAGCAAATATGTATTGATCAGTGTTTGCAAGAGGCACCATGTGCTGGACTTGTTCAAACATCTAAAAGATCATGTATATTTTGCTTGTGAAACAGCGTCTCTGTCATTGTAGATATGATTGATTGAAATAATAGTTAAAACCTGCATTGTAGAGTATTGGTCACACTATGAAAACCTTAGAAGGGTCACATTCCACATAGAATGCAGGGTCAACGCCTGAGTGGGGTGACTGCAGGGTCAGGGTGCCTACAGGGCACACAATCTCACAGGAACCCTCTCTCTACCATCAAGACTGATCTACAAACATAAACAGCCTAGAGCCTATTGTTACAAGAAATCACAGCAGAATAAATATCCTCTCTAGGTGCTTTATAATGTGGTGATAAATGTGCTCAAATGCTGTTTTTCAGTTTTGAAAACATTACTTGCTTTTTCAACAACCCCATTGACAAAAATAAACTTGACATCAGCTAGTCATGTTAAGTAAACACAGGGGAAAAGAAGCATACCAGACTGGTAATAACCAATCACAAGCTACAGATATTCCATGACAGCAGTGAAACAGGCTCTGAATATTATCAGATCCCACTGAAGTCATCATTCTCAAGCAATGCAGAGTAGAAGGAAGTTCAGGATTTCACTGTGTTAAAAGTGACAGGACAGAAAATCCTTTGTACCTCAATCCATAAAACTGATTAACAACATAGAGTGACTGTGGTTGGGTTGACTTGACATGATATATGTTTAAATGTCATGTCCAAGTCTCTTACAATTTCTTTGAGCGCCCCAGGATTTCTCAAAGATGTCAGAATTATTTGAAATAGATCTGCTATATTCTCTATAAGTAAAAGCTGCAATTTTGAACATTAAATAATTGTATAATAAAGTATAAGTATTGAATAAACGCTGAAGTAAATCATTTTCTCAACATGAATCCCTAATTTGTCAGTCAAGCTGCATATGGACACTTTTCTGGGAGAAGTCTGGTAAGTTGAGCACTATCCTCTCCTCTTTCTGACTTTATCTGTCTTCATTATGACTTCAGCTGTAGTCCATATAGCATGTCCATTGCTATTCACTATTGAGTGATGATGAGACCCCTGAACCTGGTCTCTTTTATATACACCTGTGAGCTGGTCACCCCCTGCCCGGACTCTAGGGCTGCACCCCCTGCCCCCCGGAGAGCCTCTTTTTTTTTTTAGTTGTTACTTGCCGATACAGAAGGGTCTGAGGACAGTGAATAGCCCCGATGTGTTTGTTATTATGGAATTGCCTGTGTCAAACGGTTTCATTCTCTGATCCATTACTGGCAAATCAAAAAATGTGTAAAGTCCTGAATTTAATAATTAATGTATGCCACTCTCATGCCTCATAGAACGTTTTGAGTTTGATCCCTGGGTCGGACCATTGGGGGTGGGTCTTGGCTCAAAAATGTCCAAAATGACGTGTTACTGGCAAATTATAAAATGTGTAAAGTCCTGAATTTAATAATTAATGTATGCCACTCTCATGCCTCATAGAACGTTTTGAGTTTGATCCCTGGGTCGGACCATTGGGGGTGGGTCTTGGCTCAAAAATGTCCAAAATGACGTGCGCTTACATGCTTGCAATACCACCCGGGGCCGATGGAGGTGGACCCGGAATAAGAATGAATTAGCCAATGCTGATGTATAGCATCTTCTTATCTCTCGAAAACTGAAAAGTCGACTCTTGGCTCAATGCTAGGTTCCAAATGTGTGTCAATGCTGAGGGGAGTATAATTTTTTGGACCGGTCTAGTTTTGTCGTTGTGGAATTTTGGAAGCACTCGTCCATTAAATATGGCTTGTGCCAGCTGACGCACACGCAAATGCGTTTTTTCACATTTTCCAGCCCCAGCAGCCATTTTGAAACTGCCCATCGACGGCAACAGTGGTGGCACATTAGTTTCAACAGCGGAGATAATATTTACAGTCTATGGCTCAGACCAGGGATTTGTGCAATGTGCAGATTGCATGTTTGTGGGTTTTCTCCAGCCACTCCGGTTTCCCCACATCCCAAAACATGCAGCAGTATGAATCTAGTGAGTGAAAGATGGTGGTGGTCGAGGGGGGACAATAGTGCAGATTGTCTGAGTGTCTCTCGGTAGGGAGAAGTACGCAGAAATAACTGGACTGATTGCGCTGAAATTTGGTCTGTATTTGCCTAGTATTCAATGGCACAAAATACCCCATTCAATTTGATAGTGTTGACAAGATATGCACATCATTACATTTTCTTAATATGTCTTATTTGGAAAGTGACCCACAATAAAAAAGAAAGCTAAATGAATTGAACATATGGTTTACAGCTATCTGTATGTGTTTGTTCATCAGACATTACTATTACCAATATAATTCAGGGCAAGTCATCAGACTTGACCCCCACCACACATATCTGGGCAGCAAACCAAGATTGTGTGCCAAGTGTCTGGAAGTGGCCGACACCCTACTGGTTGGTTAATGAAGGGCTTTCTGAGGAGGAAGGGTCGAGCCTGGGCAGTGTTGAATGAAACATATGTGCCGTTTACACAGGGACGCTGCGACAGTAAAACGTTAAGATTTGGGAATCTGTATTTTGTTTACACAAAGATGGTGTATGGATGGGGGAACACAGGCGTTGAGAAACAGCCTCCACAGTGGAACAGAACAGATACTGTGCGAGCGGAGGGCTGTTTCACGGCGTGTTCCACTGCCCACTACTGGCCGGGCACTAGAACTACATCGCTTTGTGTCATCGTGTAGACGTTGTGCACTTTGAATATGGAGCCTTGTCGTTTTTGCAAATTGCTTTGCAGCGTCTCCATCTACTACTGGTCAGGATTATTGTGTGACGCCGTCTTCAAACAAGAAAACTACATTACCTTTTGTTCTTTGAATTGCAACAATTTATCACATATTGAACAATATCATATTTGGAGCATCATCAAGCAATAATCAAGCTAGGCCTTATAATAATTAAGGCATCAGGATGTAATAAGGTCGAATAACTTTAAAAGTGAGTGAATTTTGCTTAGCTCTTACTGGGTAAAAAATAACTCCAAGTGACAACCAGTGTAAGGGGCACCACCAAGTTAATGTTTTTTTCTGCTAGACATCTGTGATCATTGTGACATTGGATTTAAAGTAACTGAAATGGTAAGAAAATGTACTGGACTCAAATCAAATTGTATAACCTAGGCAGGAGTCACACAGCTTTGGCAGTGATATCAACTATTGTGTTGCTACGGAAACAGGCTGCCCTCTTTTTCTATCTTCTCCGGTTACTTCAACTTTCATTTGTCTTTTTACAATATAATTTGTGGTACTTACATCTGAAGTAACTATTAATAAACAACAATTTAACAATGTAATCAAACTAGTCCTTATTGTCTCAAACAGTATCACCGGTTTTCACCGTGCATGTCTTTTTAGCATCTGTCATGCTATCTGTCTATGTGATATAGACCAGCTTTTTCAGACACAGTTAAAAAAAGAGAGGACCACACTCACTCATCATTTAGAGATTCACACAAGGGTGATTCAAACAAAGTATGCAGATAAAATGTTTTCTAATAAGATGAAGACAGTATGCTGCGGTCTGGTGTTTTTTTTTTACATTGTATTTGTCCTGTTGAGTCAAATACAATAAAATATTTATAAAAACATCTGGGACCCAAGCTGCCTCACTCACTTGCCACATACCAATTAGTGAAGGTAGGTGCAGAAACCAGTCAGAAACCAGCCAGCCATTATTTGACCATTATTCTTAGTGTACAAACTTTTGGAATTATCTTATAAATAAATAAATATTCAGCAAACAGCGGATGAGCATACAAAGCCAACTTTCAGGGAGGTTTTCTATTTAGCAGCCGAGATAAACTGAAGGAAACCCTGTCTGTGATTGGCATCATTGGGCCTTTACTCACATCAAGCTGTTATGGCTTATATCCACGGCTTAGGTTTTCAGTCAAAAAAAACTTAACAACAGTACAATGGTTTTATAGGGAGATGCTTGAATAATAAAAAGAAATATTTAGCAATAGTTGCACTGAAAAGATACTCCCTGCAGCTTGTGTCAAAACAATTAAAACGGATCTATATCTATAGAAAATATGTATTTTACATGGGCAAGATAAGAATTGTCATCATAGCACTACTACTTAAGTACTTATTGGGGAGTCATAAAATGAGCAAATATCTACTAAATATAAAAATATTATGAAAATAAGGAGCACCATCTGAAAACAATAAATATAGTATGTATCATTGTGTTAATTTGTAGTGTACAACATCAGAGGTGATAGTCCTGTCCTGTATGTGCGCTGCAACATTGAAATTTCCCACTGTGGGACGAATAAAGGGTGTCTTATCTTATCTAGGTTAAAATAAATAGATGAATCATTAATTAGATCCACCTTGACATCTGTCATATTTAGTTTTACCTACCAAAATATTCCTTTTTTATGTGCATTTCCAACTCCTTCTCCAGCTCCAGCGTGAGCGCCTCTAGTCGCTTCTCGGCCTGACTGGGCCCATTTTCCCTACTGGGGGTCACCTGATAAGGCAGTTTCACCCTTTGACAGGTGGACTTCGAGGGGTAACCAACTGGTGTCGGTAAATTCGTGTCACCAGGGCCACAGGACAGCTGCTGCCCATCTACAACAGGTAACAGTCCCTGTAGATGAGACCCCCGGTTCTGAACGCCACTTGATTCCCCATATTCCTGTAGAAGAGTGTCCTCATGTAAACTGGTGCCCAGCATTGATGCACGGGGCGAGGGCATTTGTAGGTCCGGGTAGGTGCTCATTGACCCCCTGGAGCTGCGAGAGCTCCTGGAGCTGTGACTGGATATACTGGAGCGGGGACTAGCGACACAGTTAACAGTGGGTCCTGGCCGTGTCCCATCCTGACTACAAATGCTGGACCTGGGGCTGGCCAGTGGCGGCGCGTGTAGAATGCCACCGTCCAAGTCGTGGCTGAGCACGGGCCCATAGCGAGAGTCTGAGTAGCTGGATCTGGGGCTGGTGGTGAAGGAATACTGGCTAGCTGTGCTGGACCGGGGGCTTGTATGCCTCTGGTCGTAGCCCATACTTATCCCACTTGTGCGATTACTGCTGGGCTTACTGCAACAGTCACAGCTGTTTACACTGGCCCGTGGGCTAGACTGTTTACTCGTATCGCTGGCGCTGCTTGCATAGCTGGACCTAGGACTAATGATGCAGTTCCCCTCGCAGTGAACCAGACTGGACCTGGGACTCGAGTACCTATCCTGGCTCGGGACCACAAGACTGGTGCGGGGACTGCTGATGCTTGACCTGGGACTGGCGTGCTTGCTTTGCTCTTGAGAAGACAAGGATGACGCCAGACTGGAACGCGGGCTGGTGGCATTGTACTTGCAGTCGTGGTTGCTCGTAAGGCAGACGCTGTTGCACCTGTTGCTGGACACGACCACGGGTTTGTTGAGAGAGACGCCGTCATAAGAGGAGCCAGTGCTATACCTGTGGCCCAGCACTTCCAGAGAGTACCTCCGCTGTTTCTCACCGATGTAACACGGCAAGGCCACTTCTGTTTGGGTACAGCTGCCCTCTTCACCGTACACTGCGTCTCCTCGAGGCGCACAAAAATCCGCGGGCACAGCCCGGTTACAGTTCACCGGGCGCACTGGAGCTGCAGTGTACACTTTACTGCCACATGTGAAGTTCTCCACTGTGTGATGTTGCTGCAGGAGCAGAGCTGTCCCGTTCATTGGTGCACTTGTATGCTCCACAATTGGAGCAGGAAAGTCCAAATCTCTTCTCGTAGTGTACATCCCATCACTGTATGTATCATACAAAGAAAGGTCCTCCATCCGATTGCTGGCCCGTCCAATATCCTCCTGGTAATGATCCATGTTGCACCTACGAAGCTAGTAACAAGTTTAGTCTGTGTCGCTCCGATGTCCAACAAGCTAGCACCGCGTTTCACATGGAAATCAAAACAAAGCGCGGACGTACAGCCGCTGCTCATGTAATGAAATCCGGGAGTTTTCTCTGAGCGTGATGGTTGTATCCATCGTCTTCATGTGCTCGGCATCATCCAGTGGAGAAAACAAACCGTTTCTTACCGTGTTTGCCGGCAACAGGGATACGTTTGTCAACTTCGTTTTTTGTTAAGTTGAAAGGTCTTTACAGTCAACGGCGCGCGACGCGGAGGAATTTCCCCGTGTTCGTTTTTTGCGTTCATTTCATTTCTCCACTGCTTGCTTCAGTAGTTATTACGGTATAAATCCGCATGTAATGCTAGTGGCAATCTCATACAAGTTTAGGAATAATAAAGCGTCGTGAAACACCGACAAACAACCTTTGATTGTCGGAACTTATTTGTGTGACAGGAATGCGAGGATGGAGACCGGGTGTGCTGCGCCTCTTTGGAATGTGGTTAATGCTGCAGAGAAACAATGATTGCGACCAACTCAGCAAGGGGCTACCGGCTTTAAAAAGAGAACACTTTAGAGAACACAGGGCACGTCTGCTTTCAGCCAGGCACACCAAATGTAGCATAAAGCATGCTCACCTGCTTAATAGCTATTCAGCTATAAAGGATGATGATATGACTGCTATTCGATATTATAATAGATCAATGATAGTACTATTTGTATCTTAGGCCTATAATGGACACAACATATGTTCAAAATGTTTCTCTAAGCGAGTCAGTGCTCTAAAAATAATGTTACAAATTAGCACAAGGAAAACAACTTATTTGAAAGGATTTTTATTAGAAAATACATTTAATTGACATGGGAACACATTGACATGTCAACAAATACGTAAGTAGAAGAATAATCAAAGTTAATTAAATAAGTTAATACCAAACATAGTGTTAATACTCTTCATTAACTTCCAGCTACTGGAAGAAATGACAATATTACAGCTACAAATGCAGAAACAAATAACATGTTTACCACAAATTGCCAGGTTTGAGAGCTTTGCACCTTTCTCCCATGGCCTCTGCTTTTGAACCAATGGACTACTTCATCAAGGTCATATTTATGTGGTTTGTAGCCCAATTCTGACATTGCTTTGGCCATGCTAAAGTAATGTGTCACACCTGTTTTATACACTTCCGTACGAGTCAGAAGGGGTTGGAAGTTATAAAACGGGCCAACTGCATAATGAATCATTTCAATAATAAAAGCTATGTAATAAATCAGAGTCACAGGAAGACGTAATTTTGGGAAGGAGTATCCTAATCCTTCAACTAGTGGTCTAAAAAATTCAAAATTGTTGACAGGTTGGCCATCAGAAATAAAGTAGGCTTTACCAGCAGAGATATGTTTTTTTTCTGCAGTCAAAGCCTCAGCAGCCAATATATGTGCTGACACCAAGTTATCAACATGAACAAACTCCACAAGACTGCTAGGTTTCCCATAAACAAACTTGAAAATCCCATTCTCAATATAACTCACAACCCGAGGTAAGTGCCGTTGTTCTCCAGGTCCATAAATGCCAGCCGGTCTCAATGCACAGGTTCTAAGCACTCCAGAACCATCTAGCAAAATTGTCTCATTGGCTTTTAACACAGCCATTTCAGCAAGGGACTTTGTTCTAGAGTAATGGTCTGGGTGAAGATGAAGAGGCAAATAAGGAAGACTTTCATCTCCATTTGTTATTTCCTGCCCCCCAAAGACCACGTTGAAAGTACTGGTGTAGACCAGTCTGGACACCCCATGCGTTGAGCAAGCCTTTAGGACATTTTGTGTTCCTTGAATGTTCACTGCTTCAATTATTTTCTTGTTAAGCTGCTCCCTGCCTGACATACCATAAGAAGCAATGTGAAACACACAATCTATACCAATCATGGCTTTCTCAACTTGTGCATAGTTTCTCACATCACCTTGCACAAATGTAACATTGTTTGGCAGTTCTTGCAGGGGAGGAGTTGTGTCAAGAAGAGTAACCCTGGCCCCCTTTTCTTGGAGGACAGACGCCAATCTGTAAATACAATTGAAGAATGATTAAATCCTTACATTAGCTCAGTCAGGTTCACTTCTTTGCTCTGGAGTCACTGGCGTGCTTCTCTGTATGTGTGACTTGGTCTAAATATGTGAATATGTGATTACTATGTGTGTTTTAACTCTGTTCTGTTATTTTTAAAACTTTTCTTTAATTATTCTTAGCTATGGATCCTGTGCTTGCATGTGAGTCCTTAATAAAGTATAAATAAATAAATAAATCCAACAAAAAGCATACAATTACAAATTCCAATACAGCAAACAGGGCTAAGCGTAAAACTAGTGTTATAGCGCCACCCTAATGATGAGTTACATATTGCAATAAATGTTCGCCTGTTGAAGCATTGAAATAACCTACCGGTATCCAAAGTATCCACATCCACCCGTAATCAGCATCGAGCAATGAAGGTCCATCTTCAATCAGGTCTTAAATTAAAACAAAAACAAGCATTACTGTCGCAATTTAGGTTATTAAACATTGTCCAGCTTATCACATATCACACACAAGCTAGCTAAAGAGAATAGCATTGTATATCCTATAGCTATATCCACCTGATTTGATCTTTGACTATTCTCTGTTAAATCTATTGCGCAAGTCCAAATGATCCATAAGTTTGACGCGGTGTACAAAGTCTCGTTTAGTCAATACTTAGTTTTGGTGGTATGTTTCATGCAACTAACACCATCCAAACACTGTATAGTACATGGTATTCATGAAACAACTGTGATTTAGCTTTAGGATCATGATCAACGATTCATGTAACGCTACCTGGTTTCGCCGTTTCGCGCACATTGACCAAACACGTTGCACGCAGAGAACTCGACGCCAACACCGGAAATACTACAATAATAAGTACAGCACACATAACTCAAAAGTCCCTTTGGAAGGCTAAAACATACGCATACAGGCATTGGTTCAATTTTAAATACATTTCTGCCAACCTAATAATGTTTATAGGGACCAACGTTTGAATTCTCATTTACTTTGAAATATGTAGGCTATAAGATGACTTCTACCTTCTGTGCCCTGGCATACATGACCGTACCATGGATCTATAATAGTAACGGACCGTACACAGGGCTTATTTTAATGCAGAGTTCATTATAGATAACGCCAAAAAAACTGCATTTATGGGTGGGGGAAATCAGATAAGGCTATGTGTGTGTGTGTGGGCGTGGGTGTTTGGAGGGCATATGATACAAATAACACATTTATAATAGTAAGGCCTATTTAACAATGAGTGTATAGACTTAAGTTTGATCATACAGAACGATATTTTGAGACTTGCTGAAGTCAGTTCAGCATTTTTCTCTCTACTATCCCTGTAAAGTTTGTAGCCACGCCCCTGTGCGCATATCTTTTTAAAGGAGTGACCATGGATGTATTATATTAACTGGATAGGGTATTACTAGCTTGTAGCTGAATAACTCACGTGCTCAGGGGATTCTCGCGGTACTGCAGACTGAACCAGACTAAATTCACGTGGGCCACCCAGAAATTTTCCCCATAGAACTCAATGCATATTAAAACAGCTCAACCTCAGCTGACAGAGAACCTACAGCTTTCATAAAGATCGGATTTTGTGGGGATTTTAGTGTCCCTTGTCATCCTGAACTTTTTTTCTTCTTAAATCCTTTGGTTTTGTTTAAATCCACACTTTAGTGCCACAAACTCTGCTCCTCTGGCTCTCGCTCTAACTCCCGCTTTGAGGAACTGCTCTGATTGGTCAGAGCGCGGCCGAGCCCCTCTGTGCACGTGCGTGAGACCCGGTGTGAGACCCACACACGCGTGTTTGGCGCAACGCATTATGGGAGATCATCCACTGCGCAGAACCGGGAGGACCAGACTATGCCCAAATACAGGCGAGTTTCCCATAGATCTTTGCGAGTTTCAGGCAACTTCCGCTAATCTTTCAGCCCCCATGCCGTCACAAAGCGCCACTGAGCACAACCATTCATTTGAACAGGGCGCCATCTTGGATCGCCGGGGCTTGGGAGTGACTGGCCTTTCCGTTACAACTTCCACTTTCGCAGTTTCGAGGATTTATATCTACAATTTGGTAAGGGAAAGCATTTCAAATCACTTGTATAGCAACCAAATGTTCATAGACACGGTCTTCATTGTGTATTCTTCTAATGTGGTTTTGTTTTGTTTTACGCAGCTCCTGCTAGAGTTGAACCTAAAGCGAGACTTTTTTTTAGCCATGTTCCATAATATAAATTGGATTAAAACATTGATTAGGCTTAGTTTGTCTTGTTATCTTTTACCAAAAGTTGCAATATTGTAAAGTGAGTGTGCATTTGTTACAGGTGTGATGGAGATTGAAAAGTATTTCAAAAGAATTGGGTTTGCAGGATCCTTCGAGAAACCGGACCTTGCAACTCTGAAGTTAATCCATAAACTGCATGTGATGTCCATTCCATTTGAAAACCTCAGCATTCATTGTGGGGAGAAGATAACCATGGAGCTGGAGATAATCTTTGACAAAATCATAAATCAATGCCGAGGGGGTTGGTGCCTTGAAAATAACATCCTTTTTGGCTGGGTCCTGCGAACACTAGGCTACCACTGCACAACTCTGGGCTCCAGAGTTTTTAACAATAGTCTGAATGACTTTGGGCCTCTTGATAGTCATATCATAAACAAGATTGAGATAGATGGGGAAGCATACCTAGCAGATGTAAGCTTTGGAGTTTCTAGTCAACTGTGGGAGCCACTGGAACTTGTCTCAGGGAAGGATCAAAGTCAGGCACCGGGTGTCTTTCGTCTTTTTGACAAAGGGGGCATGTGGGTCTTGGAAAAAACAGGAAGAAAACCTGATGTTCTTAACCCAGAATTTGTCAAATCAAGCCTGGTGAACACAAAGCTAACAAAAACCATATACTGCTTCACCTTGAGCCCACGAGGCCAAGATCATTTCACCAATACATGTCTAAAACTTCAGACAGACCCTGCATCACTGTTCACCAATAAATCCATCTGTTCACTGCAAACACCTACTGGATTTAAAGCTTTAATTGGCTGGACATACAGCCAAGTCACATATTGCCCAGATGAGGATGTTGATAAATACGACATGAAGAACATAAATATCGATGACGTAGAGAATATCCTGTGTGAAGAGTTCAACATAAGGCTGGCCAATAAATTGCAGCCAGTTAACAAGACATTAATGTATACACTCTGAAAACTAGAATGGCAAGCACTTTGTATGAATTGTCTGATACAAATAAACTTACCTTGCCAAGAATGGGAGTGTGTTTGTCTTCATTGTTCTGCATTATCTTAACCCATACAATCAACTTTGTGGACTTTGGATGAGTGTTACATCACAGTAGGCCTGGTAGCTCTGTGAAGCCCATTTACTTTTTAGTAATTAATTTTTACTATTAAAAATTAAACTCCTTTTACATTGTAACCGTTTGTGTCACGACCCGTGATTTGAAGTTTAAATAGCACTATGTTAAGCAAAGATTTTAAACATCTCACAAAGCACTGTTCAATCCATTATTCAGACATGGAAAGAATATGGCGCCACTGCAAACTTACCAATGTACGGCTTTCCACTTTAACTAGCCAAACAATGAGAGCACTGGTCATAAATGACAATCATATGCCTCAGGATGACTCTGGAGGAGCTGTAAACAACACTATAACAACATCAAAAACAACTTTGTGTTATGGCCCAGTCAAAGTCAGATCTACATCCAATTAGAAATCTTCACAAATGCTCCATATGAGGTTTTTGTAATAACAACGAATAAGCAAAACGAGGTGAAAAGCTTGCAGTGTCAAAAAAGTTTCTAACTAATTATGTATGAATTCTTTTGGAAGCTACACTTTTTTATTTACCAAATCAAATATAATTTTGCTTTCACTTCATAGTTGTCTCTCACTGTGTTGTGGTCGGTAGAAAATACAACACATCCTTGTTTGTAAACATTGTAAAAGCACTTTTGCAAGCCCTTTGTTTTCTTGGACCTGTGTTGCAATCAATGCTGCTAACAGCAGGGGGCAGTAATGCACCACCAGGCGATTCTCTTGAAACCATTGATCCATAGCGTTAAAGCAGAAGTACAGTTAGCAGTAGCTGGTCCCAGGCATGAATTCTTTGGAGCAAGCCGAAGGTACATTAACAACTTAAGTACATTTAATATTCAAAGTGAAATACTACGAGTGGAAATATACCATCGGAAAAAAACTCTTGAAACCAAAGGAATACGGCGTGTACCCTTGTGCTAGCATGATTGCTATCATGCAGAGCTAACATTAAAGCTATGTTTTGGTTTATCACCATTTATATTCCTCGTGATTGTTATTAATGTTTAATGTTATGTGAACATCTTCACAGACCTAAAGGCTTTTGAAAGAAGACTTACAGAATATGTCTCTTGTCTGCAACCTGCAACAGGAAGGTGGAGAAGTAAGTGCATGCACACTTCGTTTATTGGCTACTTTGTTTTTGTTTTTTTAAAACCAAGTTTTTTAATTAAGCCAGATGAAAATATCTTTGTTTCATATCTATATATTTGTTGTGACAGTGATTTTGATAGTGGTGTCTGTGTGCACGGCTACTGGGGCATGGAAGTGGTTGATAGATCCTGATACACAAAAGGTTTGGATATATCTTTTCTTTTTTTATTCAAACAGAAACCCTTAATATCCAAATGTTATCTAATGTTAGATAGAAAGCTAAGATAAACTTTATCAATCTCACAATGGAGAAATTTACACAGATAGCTAGATGGTGGCTATAAAATTAAGCCTTGTTGTATGAAACTTGATATTTCAATCTAATATTGATATTTGAACGCCAAAAAATCGCTAAATATTGTTATATCTATTATCATTGTTATACACACCTAAGACTGTAGTTACTAGTTGGAATTCTGAGAAACATCACGTCATACCTCGTCAATAATCAGGCAATTGGCAATGGTGCTTTATGATATTATTCACGAAGCACCAATGTATTGTAGTAGTGACTATCAGAGATGTACTCCAATGCTGGATGTGTGTGCATGCCCAACTTCATGGTGATCGGTTTGTCCTACATTCTTAATGACTTTCCTCTTATTGTCAAATTGCAGGTGTCATTTTTTTCATCACTTTGGAATCACCCATTTTTTACCCTCAGCTGCATCACACTTATAGCACTATTCTTCGCTGGTATACACAAACGAGTTGTGGCACCATCAATGTATCCTTCTGAAATTATATTTTGAAACTAAAAGTTTAGAAATGTGATTTTTGTCTTTTGATTCTTAACACTTCAGTATTGCGGCGCGTTGTCGAACAGTTCTAGCTGAATACAACATGTCTTGCGATGATGTAAGCTAAACAGTCTTTAAGATGTTGAATCCACTGTCTAATATCTATATTTTTTGTTTTTGTCATAGACTGGAAAGCTTATTCTAAAGCCACGACCCAACATCCAGTGACTCTACATAGTTTTATTTAATCTCCCAACCCTGCTCTCCAGATTGAAATATTTTACTGCACATCTATGTCAGTTAATGAATTAAGCTACTTTGTTTTATGCTGAGTGGATATTTTATCAGATGATTATTTTTTTTAGTGAATAAATTGATACACGTGTTTGCTTTATTTATATAAAAATGTTTGTTATACTTGCATAACACTGTGTCTGTTGTTTTTGTCAATATGAGCACAAACAGGCATATGCGAACACTTAAGAAAAGTCTCGCAGAGAAAATAGATCCGTGGCGGATTTTTTGGGTAGTCTTTTTTTACGACTCTTTGCGACACCTACTGTTTTACGGCACCGTCAAGCAGCTATCTCCCACATGGCTTCCGAGCATATCTCAACGTCAAGAGTTTGTTGAACTGTCAGCTGATTTTAAAGCTTTTCTCAACTCATTGCTTTTAAAATGGGAAAAACTAAAACTACCAAATTCAAGCGTCCGCAATTCAACACGGTGGGGTTACCGGCGAATGCAGTGAAGGGGGAAAGCGTTGAAGACTACGATGAAGAGAGCTGTCCTGCTGCTGAGCTGTTGGATAATGTATGAGCAAAACTCACGAGTTTTCCACATGTGTTGAGTGGAACTAACAGATGATTGTGTCGACCTTATGTTGTCAGTGTCCGTAAACTCCAATAACGGGTACCATAATAGGTGTAACCAGTATATGATGCAACCCACGATACAGATTTTAAAGCACCACCGTAAGACCTTAGTGAAAATTGAAAGCATGTTTGCTCCCTACTGTATAGAAAACTGTTCATTTGGTTCCATTGATAAACGGAAGGCATACCACTACTAGTAGCCAATGGGCATTAAATCCCATCAAACTAAACTCCCACCTTTTAAAACTAATGTCACTTTATTATGGCTACATGAAGATTTTGAGGACCAGTTTATGATTTGCCTTTCATTGAGGTTAATTGCTTTTACGCAATACTATAAATTCAAATGAGTTTTTTTACCAAACCAAATTTGTAATTTGCTTTTCAATCGAGTGGCACGGATGACATTTAATTCATTTGTATAGAGATCCCTACAATGACGATTTAAATCGTACGTTGATTAAAAAAAAGTTTGTTTTTTTTATCCTACAGACATAGCTTTCAATTGTACTTGACAATGGGATTTGACTAAAGTAATATGTCCGTACAGTTGCAGAGCCCCAGTGCAGATGTGCGAGAGTTGGCATGTGCCAGCATTTCTCGTGTAGTACAGCAAAGCCAAACTATTTCAGGATTTCTGCAGCGAGATGCAGTAAGACGCCTGGGCCCTATGCTGCTGGACAGCAGTGTGGCTGTCAGGGAAACCGCGACAGGAGCACTGAGGTATGTATGTGTGGGACAAATGCCTGTTCCTTTCTATCATTGTTTCTACATTGACATCTTTGTATTTTGTTATTTATAGTTTCCTAAATTGTTCATTGGAATGATCTGTTTCTTAAAGTTTACACTTCATTGCAAGAAGTTGTTCCTACTGCCACCATGAAGCAATTGTTAGTAGATTTATGTGATATCGGACCTTTTAACCCCTGGCTCACATTTTTTTGTCTAAAAATTGTCTTCTTAGACAAAAAAAACGTCACCAGAGAGGCTCACTGGTGTAGATCCTTAACGTTAGGAGTATACTGTATAGCAACCATTTTCCCCTGTTTGTTTTATTACTAGTAGAAAATTGGTGTGAGTTTGAGTCAGTTCTGAAAATATATCAGTTTTATTACATACACTTAAAGTGATAGTCTGTAACTCTAAATTAATTACAAATTTTAGGAAATGTGTTAAATTGACCTCCTGGCCTTAAATGTTGATATAATATAAGTCATTTTATTAATTCTAATATTACGGGCAAGTCCCGCCTTCCCTTCTCTTAGCTATAGTTCAGAATCCACGATGCCGTCGAGATTAACCAATCGAGTCATGCCAAGGGCTGTCAATCATCGGTGCTCATGCTTCTTAGTATAATGTGCAATTCATGATAATAGCTTGTTCCGGGTTTGCCGCGATCGTTTTTTTGTGTGCATAAAAACATTATTTTCTTCATTAAAACGTTAACAAATAATTCTGAAAACCTCCGTGCATGTGTATTAATAATGTATATGTATAATGTGTTCTCTGATTAACATTTAAAAGTGTTACGGAAACGTAGGAGTAGACCAATCAGAAAGGAAGGGGGAGGGAGCTTGCATCGTTTTTTTTCAAATCAAGCACCTCTCTCTCTCTTTCTGACAAACTCCAGACAATCACTTTAAAGGGGCAGAATCTACATCTTCATCCCACATGTATCCATAGGTCAACCTGAAATTATATTTGGCTGGTGTTAGGCGTTACTTCAAAAACGTAATACTTATTACTGTTATTTCAAAATAATGTAGTAGACTACAATATTACTGTCTCTAATGCATTACACTACTACTGCATTACTTTTAAGTTACTCTCTCAAAAAAAAAAAAAAAAATAATATATATATATGATATTTGCTAGTGCTTGGATTTGATGGAGCTTTTGGTTAAAGAGCACTTAACTGTTGTGTTCCACGTCTTTGTCTCCAACAAATTATAAGTAGTGGGAGTCTGTTCATCTGTGTAATGTGCTATTATGGTCCGTCAACTTTTGCGGTCAATACATTTCTGTTTTTGAAGGGAAATGGAAATTAAAAGAATTTTGCACTTTCAGGCACACGGCAATATTTTTTTCATTGCTTATAAGACATGTATATTATAATAACCGGAAAATGAAATAATTAACCTTTTTATTTTGAATTTATTACATTTCAATTGATTACCCGGAAGTGAAACAAGTTTGTTTACTTCCGCCCTATTCGCACGGAATTAGTATTACCTGTGGACCCCTGGTAATTTGTGATAATCACGGAAGGCTACGATATATTGTTGAATTTAAATGAATTATTTTCTTTTAACATGGATTAACATTTATACATCTCAAGTTGAATTATTATTTATTAATTTTAGTCTTATAATCAAAGGGGTTGTCATTTGCTCTTATTTTATTGTCACCATTGCTAATACGGTTACTAATACTGGTTAAACTTTGGGTAAGCTTATTTTAACCAACCAGTCTTGGTTCTGTCCTGGTTGAGTCCTGTCTCAGAACTGGTTCACAGCAGATCACTGCTTTAACTTGATGAAAGTGCATAATTCTTGGCTGTTTTAAAACGCGCTGCGTCTCCGTTTGTTTTGCATGTATTTTCCGCCCGTTGACAAGTGTCTGCCTCTCTTTCAAGCAGGACTCTTGAAGGCTCATATCTCTGTCAACATTGACTCTTTTTGGACGCTTTAAAAATCAAACCAGAGCATAGACTCATCTGTCACGTAGGCTGCATATCTCTGCTCTTTTGCAAATACCAACCGCTTAGAGGAGGGGCGGAGTTAAAATGCAGTGTAACACACGTTACTGACCTTTGTATCGAGTAAATATTACCCACTTTTTGATTTGTAATGCATTGATTTGTAAGTAATACATTGCAGTAATTACATTGTATTTTACTTTTCCTTAACAGTTTAAAGCGCTTTTATTCTTACTTAAAAATTCAATGGACATGATGTCCATAATATTTATGTTTTTCATGCAGATTGTCCAATCAGAGAGCAGAATGAGGCTTGCTTTTGCATTGCCAGTTTAGCTGGTGTGGTCTCTTTTTTTGATAACATTTTGAAACAGAAAAATGGCACCACACATTTTTATAAATGAAAGATACAAACATTTGGTGTCACGTGTAATGTAGCGTTGGTACCGTTTCCAGCCACATGTGTCACAGGCCGGAAGATTCTGGCAACAATTGTTGGACTTTTCACAAACTTTCACAAACCAGCTTTGCCAAAACCGCTGACAGAGCTATGTTTGTTTGGAAGCCTATGTGCTCATGTTGTTGTCAAGAAAGTCAACTCCATAGCCTCTATAGGAGCGTAAAAGAATATGCAACATTGCAAAATCCTGGAGGAATATTTCACTGTATGTCTTGCTCCTTTACAGGAATCTGAGTGCCTGTGGAGGCCAGGAGGTGTGCGACGATATGGTGAAGCATGACATCATGACTCCGCTCACAGCCCTGCTTAGAGAGGTTAGACACGGCGTCTTTTTGTGAACCTAATAAAATCCTTAAGAATTCTGATTTCTTTTTTTCTTTTTTTGGGTGGAATTTTGATTTACTTTCACAGTGCTGTTCTGGATTGGACAGCTGTGCCACGTCAATGGAAAAGAAGAATACTGGTAATCCCGTGGAGCGTGTTGCTAATGAAGCTGTGAACCTGCTGTGGAATCTATGGTATGTGAATGGAATCAATAACATAATATAACTTTGCTATTGACCAAAAAAATAGTTATTTTTTCTTTTGAAATGATGAAAAATGCTTCATATCACATTTTGTGTATTTTAATATGGTGATAAATTAATTGCAAATTAAATTAAACACATGAATATTTGACCACTCTATATTACTTAGGAATACAACACAACATTTAAAACAACCTGTCTGCATAAATTCTGTTGAAATATATCTATCTTTTTTGTCATCAGTGAAAGCAATACTCAGGCTCTCTCCATTTTCAACAAAGCTGGTCTTCTGGATGTGGTTGTTCAATGTTTGGAGAAATATCCACACAATGTAGAACTCGCTGTATCTGCTGGTATGTACGTTTTGTATTGAAGTATATATGACAACACGGAGGGCCCTATCCTGTCACTGGTCATAACCGAACTGCTAATGTCAACGAGGATGATTGACATTTAAGCAGCTGGCACTGTCATCAAAAGGCAAATTAAACAAACGCTCTATATGTGGATTGTGATTTACCAATTGTTCACTAGGGCAAGATATTTGACATTACCGCCATTAGATATAAAGATGCTTTATTGATCCCCGTTGGAGGAATTCAGGTGTCCAGCAGCAGAAGACTCATCCATTTTTTTTATGTTAATCAATGTGAGATGAGCTAAAGGGGATTTCAATGCACAGGGCCTGTCCTGTGTGTGCTAGAGCACACCTGATTATCCTTGTTTGCAGTGGTGGTTCGGGAAGGATCATTGACAAGATGGCAGGGACTTGTGAAGTTTTAATATATAAATATTATTTGTCTAAATCATGCCTAGTGTCTAATTCATCCCAACTCGTCATATAAATTAACATTTTGTGTTGGCCAGCTCATTGTTTACATATTGTGACTGAGGATAATCCAGAGTTGCTGTGTAGCATAAACAGTGCTATACTTGGAGCCCTGGAAAATGTGCTGCTGTCCTCTCATGAGAGCATGGCTCACACTCTTCTTAGAGCACTAACAGCAGGTAACTGTGATATTGTTATATAGATGTATTAGAGGAAGAAACTTCTGCACAATGTCTGTGAAACGTTTTCTGTATTTTTAGGAACCTTGTGGAACGTAAAGAGTAATTTTCCTGCTGCTCACCAGGCCCATATCCTCAACACTGTTGTAGCAACTTTGTCTCGGTGTTTGGATATCGATGCTGGAGTATTGATCCCTAAACTCAGACAGGAAGAGAACTGCCACCTTACCCCACCATTTGTGGATGGTGTGGAGGATGAAACTATGAAAGACCTTTTTGTAGATGAGATGGGAGAGGGAGAAGTGCCAAATCCAAAGAAAAATGGCAAGGCTACCAAAATGGATAATGATGTCTCAGACTTGCTGCCTGTAAGTGTCATGTTTTTCTCTGTTAAACAATTATATATGCTTTAAGATTACAATTTGTAGCACCATGGGAAACCTGGCTTCCCATTAACTTTTTCCTACATTCTTCGAACATATTTTTGATATGTGTATCTGTTATTGGTTTTAGTCATTCTTAATACCATATTCATTTTACCACATTTCATGGTTCCACATTTTGCTTTGTTCACATCAAAGTTAGGGAAAATAATACTTTGAATATTGAAGTACATTCTTACTTAATCATATATTTAGGGCCAAATTTGCAATTTTTATTCCCAGGAGGCTGGAAATGAGCTGAGGGAGGCAGTGGCCTTGCTGACAGCCCAGCAAACATCTTTGGAGATCATTGTAAACATGTGTTGTTCTGATGGTAAGTGTCGCACGTGTCTTTGCAACTCCACTCATATAAATGACAAAAAAATACACAATTTCTTGCCAATGGGATTAAATGAAAAAAAAAAATTAAAAAAATGGTGGTGAAGGTCATTTTATTGTCACAGAGGGCAATCTGTCATGAGCTGTGGTCTCGACAGTTCTGCATCTCCAGATCTTGATGCTTGCTTTATGCCACACTGACATACCTGCACACTACAGACACATTTAACTTGGTTAATCTGTTCGTCCTATGGACCAATTACTTTTTTCTTTTTTCATTGACAATACGATTTTTGGCGCTAGAAAAATACATGAATTTGATAAGATGCACAAATCAAGGAAAGGTTCAGAGAAACAGTCCAGCACGCGTCTCTGTACTAGTACTTATACCAGAAGTCTCAACTGAAGCTTTTAAGTGTTGTTTGTAATTAGAGCTGTGTGCATAGAGCATTTCAGTTTCAGTTTATTCTTTACAATATCACACATTTACTTTATACATTGAGTTTGTATCCATTTTTTGTGACACTGAGAAAAAGAAATGGACACCCTAGGAAGCTACACAAGCCATTATTTCCCATGCAAGACAAATGTTGTTGAGCAGTTATTCAGCTGCAGCGCCTTTTGTTCATGTTTTTATCAAGTTTCCGGCATATTTTTCTGAACTGGTATCTTAATTATTTTTTAAGATCCTTCAGATGATGAGTGGGAAGAGTCATCAAGCAGTGATGAAAGTGAACTGGGGCCAGATGGGCTTTGTGATGGTGTGTCAAGCCTTATGTCTCCTTTGTGTTTATCTGCTGAAGTACATGAAGCCTTGATTAATCATCACATTCCCCAAAAGGTATGTTGTATTTTCTAAATTTCATACATGTACATATTGGATATTAACTTCCTTTCCTTAGGTGCTCAAAAAGACAGAGTTTCCTAGACCTGAAGCTATTGATGTATGCCATCAGAATCTTGAATGGAAATCCATAATTAAAAGGTAAAACGTAAAAACCTGATACGATTTTATTTTTAAAGAGAAATTCATATTTACATGATTGACAAAAATCTTGTTTAGATTGGAAAGGGTACAGACACGGGCTTTGACATGCCTTCATAGCATCCTCTCTACGATGGACTTGGAGTCTTTGGGAGGAGAGGCAGCTCTACAGGAGGCAGCACAGCACCTCTCATCTCTAGTTTTTGGACGGTCAGGTATGCAACAAAAAATAAAAATTCTATTGGTATGCCTTGTCTTGATACCCAATATTTGTATTTTATTTTTTCAGAACTGCCTAATAATGCAGAGTTTCTTGAGGCTGTAACCAGTGCACTGAGATCTTTATTGCAAACTATTGCTTCCAAAAGAATTCCTCAGGTAAGGGAAAACATTGCTTATTAATCAAGTACTTGTTAAGACTGTGAGGTATATCATTCTTCTTTGGTAACATGACAATTCTAAATATAATTAATTCATAAAAAATAGCTCCTATTTAATTTGTACAATATTGTTGTTTTTTTAGTGTATGACACCCCAGCAGCTCATAAGTCTAAGTGAAACGGCCAGCCGCTGTGATGTTGTCAGTGTGAGAGTCAATGCTGTTGCCATTTTGGGTATAACTGGCAGTATGTTGTCAAAAGAAAAGGGTTCAACAGAAACTATACAGGTAAAATCATATTTTTCTTGCAATGATTTGATGTTAAAAACTCATCTACTATCCCTCGCAGATGATTGGAAGTGCCTTACTACTGATCGCCACCAAAGATACTGATCTCGTTGTGAATGGAGAAGCTCTGGATGCTCTGTTTGATGTGTTTGCGGATGGTGACGAGGCAGAGATGGCTGCTAAAAACATCCAGTTACTACCGGCACTCAAAACTCTTCAACCTGTCTTCAAGGCCAAGGTAAGGCCAATTTCTCAACTCAAATAGATGGATGGATGAATGAATGGATGCAGGTATTAAGTGTATACTGGTTTTAGATTCAACATTCAATAAATGAATACAAAGTAAATGTAACTAATGACATGTTTAAAGTAATCCCTGTATGGATTCAATACACAATTGCAAAACATGTTAAAAACATCTGTTTCCTTTCCTTTTTAGATTCGAAAAGAGGGAAGAGGCAAGTATGCACCTCAGCAACTTTGTGTGCTAGACAATGTCAAAACCAATTTGAGAAGATTCATCAGCTATTTAGAAAAAGTAGTGAAGAAATGAAGACATTACAATAAAACGTATTGTGATGATCTGAAAATTCGGATATGCATATCAGATTTTCCAGATAATCACAAATCAGAAGTATGGACATTTTAGTTACATTAACCCTTGTTATTTATTGTTCTGAGGAGCGATAATTGATAAAGTCCTAAAGGTAAGAGTTGGATTCACTAAGATTTTCCTACCAGCGTTTGGTAATCCGAATCTCTAGATTTTATTCTGTGTTTTAGAAAAATCTGGAGTGTCTAGATCATCGCTTTCCAACTACTGTGTTGCAAGATACTATCCAATTTTACATCATAGGTTAAAAAAAATCAATTGTCAAACAGGCTGGGTCAAAGAAATGACTTGCCCACAAATCAAGGCAAGGAAAGGTTTTTTGTGTAGCACAATCCATACACAAGGCAAAACCAAAAAGAAAACCTTCACCGGAATCGGAAAAAAACAATAAAGCTTGTGTTTGCTTATTTCTGTGTCTAATGGACTGAGTTTGTTCAGATCTTCCCATTTGTGGTTAGAGCTGAACGTATGCCACATCTGTTATTTAAGGAGGAGGAGTCACTTTCTCCTCCAATCTCAAAGACACACCAAGTGACGGACACCATGGATTTGGAGACGGGTTTATGCAAATAATACTAGATTCTGACCAATGGAGGACGCTGACAAGCCCTCTGCATAAAAAGCCCTGTACATTTGTTATTTTATGTCATCAAATAAAGAACAAAGATATGTTTTCCTGTTGGTGTATGACCAGAAGGAAAATTTCAGAGGTTAAATTGTACAGTCACAAATATAGGCTGTCTTTTAAAAGGTTAAGGAAGAGGCAGAAGGAATTACATGAACAGATATGCTATCAGCTTAGTGCAACATGTTTTGTGTTATGGTTGTGGTGTTATTTATTACCTAGGCAGTAAAGTGATATTGCCTTGTTGCTCTGTATGCCTCTTTTTTTTTACCTGATTTTTGTGAAATTTCTTTTAACAAAATATACATATGCATTTAAACATAAAATGTAACTGTATTCAAGATAGATTAAAATGTGGTATCACATCACAAGCATCACATTTTTATTTGGTAAAAGTCTACTCCCCCTTTCATATATTTGGTTTATTTGTGGTGGCACGAATGTGAAACCTGTATCATGTTTGTGCTTTATGCATTTAACATTTTGCTCAAACCTGGCTTGTAAAGTGGTGAGATAATTAACTTATGATATGGAAGTTTCATCATCTCTCCCTTATTGTGTAAAGTGAAAAGTGGATGAACAAATGTTTGCATGTCATCTCTAACAGGTACAGTACATTTTTCTGTATTATACTTCTGCATCAATCTCTAGATGAGCCTCCTCAACCTTTTTTCCTACATTGAAAGGGGCAATGTTGTCTTAGTTCTGCCAAGGTTTAGCATCTAAGAACACTTGAGTAATGTGAATACTACTCACATTAACTACTAGTAAATGTGAATGTATCATAGGACCAGTGCAGCAAAATATTTCTGCTTCCTCGGAAACATAGCGTTAGGTCAGACTTTTGATTGGAGCATAGAAAAACGGACCCTTCACCAGTTCCGAGGCAATGCATACTTTTAACGCGGCATTTTATACGATTTTATATTTCAGTAATCAAACATTCCTGCATAGTAGCAGAACCTGTTTCACTTGCCGTTTACTGGCAGAATGTAGAACTCAGAGCTTTCCTCATGGCTGTGGATTTGGAAACATTACTACACTAGTGTAGACATTTATTGTTTTAGTGTAGCTTTTACAGTGGCAAGCAATGTACATTTTAAAACTGAATTAAATTATATATGTGTATGGGATTTTTTATGTTATGTAACCAAAAACTGAGTTGCGTAACTGACTTGCGCCTCGGTCTCATTTGCGCGCATGCGCCTTGTGCACATGTTTCACTGCACCGCCATTGAGAGGAAAGGGTCAGAGAAACAGTCCAGCACGCGTCTCTGTACTTGTACTTATACCAGAAGTCTCAACTGAAGCTTTTTATAATTTATGGATGTTGTGGTTGACATCGGTGGTCTTGTTTAGGGCACTGACGCGTTTGAGCAGGTTGCCAAAGAAAGTGGCAGCGTACAGGCTGCTAACATCGTTGTGACAAGGCTACTCAGGTTTGCTAAACTGGCTAGCGGCACTGGGCACACGGGCTAGCGCTGCTCCGGGTCGGGTGCTCGGCACTGTGCCTTTAGTGGCATTTGATGGATCCGAGGATCGCCTGGTTTCAACCAGAGCAACGTGGACCTGCTAACAACCTGTGGATGCAAATTTGGGAGACGACACAAGGGCTTGGATACCTGCATGTAAATAAGAGCTACTCTCCTGGGTCTCAAAGCGGGGCGTCCGGAAGCAGTTGCAGAAACGGCTCATCTGATTCCAACTACGTGATGTCAATGGAGGACACCGAAATATCTGAGCAGCATGACTTTATACCATTGGAAAGCAACGGTAACCAGCGAGCCCCGGGCAGGGGCGGTGCTGGAGCGGGACAGCAGCAGGGCAGTAGGGTGTTGTGGAGAGGGCTCACAGACGGAATCTCTAACAAAAGGAAAAGGGACAACAAAGCAAGCACTTTTGGATACAATTCAAGCCTCTTGCACACGAGCAACGATTCTAACACAGGAAGACCTATTGAATACACGGGCACCCCATGGAAATCTCGAAACTACTCTGAAGGAATTTTAGGGTAAGTCCAAGGATATTTGTTAGAACCATGTGAGACGTTTTAGCCCCGAAAGGCATGCAGCTGTTTCCACTAACTTTGGTAAAACTCAGGATTGTCCGTGTTGGTCAACCTGTAGCCTTAGATCAATGTACTTGGGTAAACCTGTTATCCTGAAAGCTGATTGGCTGTGAAGTGTATGTGAAAGTAGTGATAGAACAACACAGTTTTGAGAGCTAGGAAATGGTTGCATGGATTTTTACATACTTTATATCTATATTTTCAAAGTTGGACTTGGCATATGTACCGATTTCAGAGTTTATACTGACTCTCTATCAAGTCTAGCTCTCTTGATGACATATTTTTTTTACTTGACACGTGTTTAGTATAATAAATCTGCGTCTCAACTATGTCAACACACTACGCACAACATTCCTAAACGAACAGCAGAAAGATAAAGCTGTGAAATACAAACACCATTAGGCTAAACATACTATTATTACTTATGCACTCTCCTTTGTGCTTCAAAATGTTTTGGCTCTGATTGGGGAATGACAATACCCTTGTGGGTAAGTTAACTTTCATGCTTCAGAAAGTAAAATTATTTCTCATGTAGAACATATATTTATATTATACCTGTAATAATAACAGCATGCCAAGATGCTCTTGGCATGCTGTTCCCCAACTTTTCGACTGGAGAATCTTATTTAAAAAATAAATATATATATATATATTTTCTTAACCATAACAAAATATGCAAAAGTTGTGTGTTCAAGAAAAAGGAGTAGTATTTTGCTAGTGTAAGTGTGATGATCATCCTGTGCAATGATTCTATCACATTTGTTTCTTGGTCACAATTGGCATTATTGACGCTAATCGTCCCACCCCTAATGTACTCTCAATGTAACACGCCGTCATATCCTTTCCTATTATTTTAACCTAAAACAAAATATCTTTCCATTTATGAAGTCTTAGGCAGGAGGATTATGTCAATAATGCTGATTTTTATTTTTTTTATTTTTTTAATGACAATTTTAAACTTTATTTAATACCTTTTGACAACTATTGTGTTCTGTGCAGGCTACATGAAGAAATAACCGACTTCTACAAATACATTTCACCACAGCCAGAAGAGGAGAAGATGAGACTGGAGGTGGTCGACAGGATTAAAACGGTTATCCACAACCTTTGGCCCAGTGCTGAGGTACCTGTTCATCTTGGATAAAAACCTTAGTCACTTGAAAGGTGCATTCCTCAACTGCCTGAACTTTCTGCTTGAGTTCTACTAAATATTGTTGATATTTACACAGTTCAGATTAGAGACAAGCATGTGACACATACTGCCCTTATAGGCGAGTCTGTGTTTTAAACTATTTTTTTTTTTTTTTACAGTGCCAAACAATATACATGGAGAGTCTAAGGGCACATAGATTTTTACAAACGAACTAGGCCAAGTGGCCCGGATTGTCGCCACAGGGGTGTGAAAACGGCCCGCGGTCACATGAACGTGTTGTCTGAACCGTGCCAGGGAAATTGAACTCGGTCCAGCTGGTGGCGCTAATACTAACACCAGAGACTACCTCGTTGCCCTGGTTGAGATCCGCTTCTTTTCCTGTTTACATTCTGCTACTGTAGCTAACAGCTCAGTACGGATTGCGTTGTTTAGGGAAAGATACATCTCACACTTGTCCAAATTGATCTGATGCAAAGGGTAGCAGTTCATTGGGTAACATGTGAATGCACACTTGTGTGTGTGTTTGTGTGTGTGTGCGCGCTGCGGACACGAGTGCACACACACTCTTTACCATTGAGCGTAGGAGCGCTGAGAAATGAATGAATGAGAATGAAAGAATGAAAAGTGTGGAGTATGAGCATAGCGACCGCAGATAGGGAGGTTACAAGTGTGTGTGTGTTTGTGTTTGTGTGTGTTCTGGTGATTAAATAAAGACTGATTCTTGAATGTGTTATTGCAATAGCACCACACTGAGAGCGAGGGTCAGGGCAGAAGAGAGCTACACCCATAGGAAACGCTTTTCTTTGGCTCTGGAGCGACACTCCCCAGCGCCCCTCGACACCGGTCCGGGAGCTTATATGAAAGGTTAAACACAAGCGGAGAATACGAAAGTGCAGAGACGTGTGTGAAAATGTGTGTCACAGGAAGACTTAATGTGACGCACAATATCACGTCCCCACCACACCTCATCCCCCACTCCCCACCACCCGACACACTGACCCCCCCTCATCCGCGCTGGGAAGCGGGCCCTGTCCGAACTTTTGAACAGCGCCAGGTTTGAAGGCGAATGCCGCGGTCAGATGGCACCTAAAGCCCGGATCTAATTGCGAAGCGGGCCCTGGCACACTTTAACCGGGCTTTAGGCTGCAGTCACATGCACAACTTCTAAGTTTTTAAAGCTTTCAAAAAGGCTTGGGATGATGTATTGATTGCCAAAAACAGAACTCTTATGTGGATTACATCGTTTGCAAATGATGTAACTGTTTAATTCATCCCTTTATGAATGCCCTCCATAGTCATTTGGTCATATGTATTTTTTTTCAGGTACAAGTCTTTGGGAGCTTCAGCACTGGTCTTTATCTGCCGACAAGGTAAATAACTTTTGAACTTATTTCCATTATTGATTTTTGGGAGATCTTTAACAGTAACAACAACTGAATGCTAGATAAATTAATCGCAAATATGCGTTCTAATATTTTGGTCTAAATTTATGGCCCCCGCTTTCTTGAGAAAAGCCACAGGTCTCTCGTTAGCACCGACAGCTGAGTTAGCACAACAAACAGCAAAGGCTAACCTGAAACTTCCTGTGTCTTCATTACTGCTTACACAGCAAAACATCCATCCAAAAGAACGTCTATTCCTCGCCGCGCTTCCCGGTTCTGTCATGCTATGGTCACGCCATCCACGTGCAAAAGTGCCATATTGTTCCATATTGTGAGACGCTAGCTCCGAAGCTAACAACAGCACAGAGCACAGGCGGTGGGGGAGGGGGTAGTGGGGGGCGAAAGCTCCGTGGGTGCGGGGACGGCGAGCAGAGAGAGGGAGCCCATCGCTCGCGTTTGAAAATTTCTCCAAATCAGTTAGTGCAGCTTTAAACAGTTATGAGTACAGTACTTCTTACTGTAGACTTGTAGTGATATTTAAGATGGGATATTTCATATATTCTTTTTATCAGACAAGATTTCTTGCCGGAACTGGAAACACAATGTCATTCTTCACTTTAGTGCAGTCTACACGTTTAGTCAATTCCCACATTTTTTAAAGTCGCCTGCTCCAATTTGTTGTAGGGGTGTAATGATTAAAGTAGCAATATGTAATATTTACATGTCAAGTTATCATTAAATGGCCCCAATATTTGAAAAGGCGTTATTAAATCATGCTCTTTTCGAATACATCTTTAACTGATAACAGTAGTTCAGCCGAGATACTTGAATATCAAAATTGTTTTCATTACAATGTCCTACACTTAGCCGTTTCGCCAATCAGGAAGTCTGACGTCCGGGTTGCCACAACACCCCGCACCGCAGCTAGTTAAAATAACATGTGGCAGCAGAACTAAAAAAGATCTTGTTATGATTCTCAAATCATTAATGACAAAACAAGGATTTATATTGGGACGCCTTTGAAAAATTGAGACAATTGAAGGGAGATACAAACTTTCCGTGATGCAGAACTTGCTGCGTTGGGTGAGTTCTTCATTGACAGTTCAAGTACCTGCCTGGAGTCTGCAGTACCACTTTTGGCCCGATTTTTTTTTTATTTTTTTTATACATATCGCTCCTTTAATATTCACCAATATTGTCTGAGAAAAATACAATGCAGTGTGTTTACATGTGCCTAATTCGAAAGGTGATTAAATGTTCATTGGGGAGAATTTTAATCTTAAAATGTTTAAAAAGGACATACAAAAAGATCTAAAGGGGAGACCTTTTCTGTTAAATCACCCATAATGACAAATGGTCATGTCATGGAAATCTGATCTGTGGTGTGGATGAAAACATAAATGATGGAATGAAAATACATTTGCAGATTAAATAATCTTATTAAACCCTTTTAGCGCCAGACATGTTTCAGAGATTTGTGAAATAAATAGGCCCTCTCTCAAAAGAGGACTCATCACAGCCATCCTAGAAACTAATATTGTAATGATCTGCGAGTGTATTGTCTCCATTGAATGACATGGGAACATATAAACATCGCTATGGAAATAACCCACATTTTTGAGTCTGCCACACAAACGCGATTTAACTGAAATTTTGGTGTAACTGTCTGGGAAGCCGGGTCACAGTGAAGATGGTGCATTCAAAATGATTATTCTAAACCGGTATTGCTATCAGTATTGCTATAATATTGTCTCTTCATGATCTTGTGGACTCATGTTGCGTCTCGTTCAAGATTAATTGTCTAAGGTTATTTTGTGTTATTGTAGACCAATTTGTGAACTTCTTTTTCCTACCAGTGACATAGACCTTGTTGTTTTTGGGAAGTGGGAGACCCTTCCTCTTTGGACGCTAGAAGAAGCACTTCGTAAGATGAATGTTGCTGATGAGAACTCTATTAAAGTCTTGGACAAAGCCACTGTAAGTAACAAAATATAATTCATTTTTCTACCGTGCTGTGAAAAACGTTTTTCCCTGTTGTACTTTTTTCTTTTTGCTACACATGTTTTCTTTCCCACTAACCAAACATAAAATGTGAAACACGAATACACACGCGCGCAGGTCGAGGACAACAAAGTACACAACATTAAATGTATATGAGTCTAAACATGGCCTTGTGATCAAGCATCTACAAGATTATTTATTGTTATTATTTATTTAATGTGTATGCCGTATACACACACACACATATAGATAAACTTCGAGAAATTGGATGTAATGATCCGTATTTACTGCCAAAAGCGATGTTACAGTCCCATGGATTAATTCCAGCTTGACACACTTTAACACATACTCTTTCACAATGATGGACAGAGTCATCTATGAAATTATGGAAAAACAGTCCTGGTTTCAATTAAGAGTTCCATTGAAGGTTTTTTTGGTATTGATAGTAATTTACTACACACTAACGTATACAATAAACAATGTTTTTGTGTTTGGTTAAAGGTACCTATTATCAAATTGACGGACTCTTTCACTGAGGTTAAGGTGGACATTAGCTTCAATGTAAAAAGTGGAGTGAAAGCTGCTTGTCTCATAAAGGAGTATAAAGAGGTTTGTACAATGAATTTTATAGATGCATATTAAAATTTACTTGTGTAACATAAGTGTAACAACACACTTATACACAACCATTTTCTCTAGAAATACCCTGTCCTGCCATATTTGGTCCTGGTGCTGAAGCAGTTTTTGCTACAGAGAGACCTCAATGAAGTTTTTACTGGAGGGATTGGGTCCTACAGTCTATTTCTAATGGCTGTTAGCTTTCTACAGGTTTGTAAAGAAAGCATTTGAGGGTTTGTATGTATTATACATTTGCCTTGAAGGGGGCGATATAAACGGGAAGTGGCAAAAGAAATGGCAACCTAAACAATTACTCTTTTATTGCTGTTTTTCTTGTTTTGGTTATAACAAATATTTGGTTTTGCAGCTTCATTACAGGGATGATGTATGTAGTCCCAATATCAACATTGGTGTTTTGCTTATCGAGTTCTTTGAGCTCTACGGTCGCAATTTCAACTACCTGAAAACTGGCATCCGGATCGCAGATGGAGGCTGCTATGTAGCCAAAGACGAGGTGCAGAAGAACATGATGGATGGATACAGGCCGTCCATGCTCTACATTGAAGACCCTCTGCAGCCAGGTACACAGCCATTTTAGATGTTAATTTAAAAAGAATAACTTGCTTAAATGCCATCATTTGACATGAGTGACTCCATTTTAGACAACGATGTTGGGCGAAGCTCATATGGTGCTATGCAGGTGAAGCAGGCATTTGACTATGCATACGTGGTTCTCAACCATGCAGTGTCACCCATTGCCAAGTGCTATCCAAACAATGAGACTGAGAGGTTAGTACAACAGCAAGGGTCCATAAATATTTGGATGTCTACACATAAATATTTGTCATAGCTCTCTTAAGATATATATATATCATTTGTATTTGTTTTATGTGCACCTTTTATATGTCAATGAAATCTTGAGTTCTACAGATTAATATTCAGTGCATCATCAAAGATAATAAATCCATAAGGAAACACTTAGAAATATGATCACAATAGATGGAGAATAGAACCACGCCGCTGTAATTTGAATGTAAATAACTTTCCTTTTTTCACAGTATTCTCGGACGAATTATCCGGGTTACTCAGGAGGTCAATGAGTACCGGGAATGGATTCAAAGTAATTGGGGAATCCAATGTAACAGTAACAGTAAGCTCCCTATGAGTTTCTCATGTCTGTTAATATCCTTTGAAATCTCTTGGCTAACATTTTGTACTTTTTCCCTAGATAATGTTTCATTATCCCAGAAACTCGATGAATGCAACAACAATGTTCCAGATGAAGAGGAGGGTAATGTTCCTCTTTGTAAACAGTCTTCCAACTCCTCTTCTCAGTCTCCATCACTGCACTCCTCCCCCTCGTCCTCACCACTGACCCCCACATCTTCATCCAGCTCCAGTGATGCTGTAAGTCTTGTTTGTGTTTAAATAACTAGTAACTGTATGTGCAAAATTAGTAAGAGTCGAGGTTTCACATTGGGTTTGTTTATTCAGGACTCTGATGGCACGCCATGTAAGACTGCCAAGCAGCAGCCTTGTCGCAGAGAAAAGTCCGTCCCTGTAGCTAATCATCGGAAGAGTCATAATCCAACCACTTCAAACAACAAAAGTGGAAAGGCAAGTTACTTTTATACATTAGATGCACCTTCCTGTACTTATTGTAATCGTTGTTTCACTCATAGGCAAAAGCGTCTCGTCTCCATCTTAAGAGTGGCCACCAAAGTCAGCAAGGCTCTACTCCCAGCACTAAAGCTAATGAGAGCAGCCGGTCACAGCAGCAAGGCAACAGCAAAAAAAGGAAAAGTGTGAGAGACTCCACACAAGACCTGTGCAGATAGGGGCCCTGGACTCGTCTTTACCCGTCTCTACCTTGGGCAGGTTGTTATCACAACCTTCCTTATTGTTGTCAGTCACATTTTTGAGAAAGTATAGCAACACTTTAAGATACAGTAAAAAGAACAATATTTTGAGTGGAACATTTCTTCAGATTGAAAGTGAAATGAAAGCTCTTTTGGTTGAGAACTGCTTTTTTGCCGTTCTGACACCAGCAGCACCTTGCCTCTTGCTCCTCCTGCTGTTTTTCAAAGGAAATATGATCATGGTTGGGAAACTGCAAATCGACTTCAAAAACTACTTTTTGACAAAACATCGACTGTGATAGTTGTACAAATACAATCGGCACTCACAGGGCAATTTATCCATATTATTTATTTCCTTTACTTGTATTTGGTTAAATTTTCCTTGAGCTAAAAAAAGCATAGTTTCTGCAATGGTTTGTTCAAGCAGTTAATTATATTGGTAATCCCCCCCAAATCGTGCAGTTTTATAAATCTATGACAAATTATATTTGACGTGTGATTTAGAAACATCCTTTTTCACAAGGGAAAGCTCTTTTCAATCAAGTTGCCAACATTTCTCAACAGCATCATATGCCAACTTCTAGCAGGGAGTGTTGGGCTGTTTACATTTTTCCTTTTTATGCCACTTTAATACTGTTAAACAAAGACAATGCTTTATAACTGGGCTACTTTTGTAAATTATTGCAAGTGGCAGCTGAGGTTTTAAAAAAATATACATATACTGTATACCTGGAAATCTTGGGTTGAACTGTTAATTTTGAACTCTGTGACTCCACATTTGTAGTTATAACAGCGTTTAAAGATGCTACCAGTATTTGTATATTGTGTGTGGCATTTGAATGGTACTTTACTGCCGTAGTTAACATATTAATATTTGTCACTTAAGGCAATTCTCCTCATTTAAAGTAACCTGGGAACCTGGGAATACCTACCTCCTGATTATCAATTTAAGACAAATTTTCAATCTTAAGCAATACTAGTTGAGAATGCATACTGGGAGTAGAATTTCACCTAATGAAGATACTTCTCTCTGTTAGAAGGTGTGTTTGCTAATCATCAAATCACATGAAGGGTATCCATCATTACGATAGTTAGCACACTATGCCCATGGTAATGGAGCCCAGAATCTGAAGCAAACATATTTTTAAAATGATTTTTATTTGTTAAATATATTTTAGAAAATTATATGAATATGTGGTGAATTGTCTATTAACGGGATACTCGGCTGGAGTGGTCAGCATGGCATGAATGCCAACTGGTTATTTTGTTTTATTTATTTGATTGTTGAGTGACCAAGTTTTTAAACTATACAACCTGATCAAAGCAACTATTTTAATTTGTTCAGCACCAATTATTTGCAATATCAAAACTAACCTGTAGATGGAGTCATTGGATCGGTTAATTTCTTACACGTTTAGATTGCTCTGTGAAATTATGATTCATATGCAATTTATAAGTGACTTGGACAGATGAGGCTTCTGGTCACTTGAATGTCTGTCAATTTTAGGAAGCCTTTAGTTTAAACCATAGACTTGACTCAAACTGTTCCACTGTACTCTTAAAGCATATATTTTTTTCTTCAGCCATATCGATCCATGCAATAAAATTGTGTTTATTTACACGATGTGAATAGTGAGTGTTTCTTATTGGCATCCTGTGAACCTGTTCTGATGACCATAAGGTTCAGAAAGAGGGAGGCGCCTACAACGCGCGCTGTAACTCCACAGACGAGACAGAGCCGCGGCTCCAGCACATGCACCACAGTCATGGTTCA